GCAGGATTCACATTATAAAGTATAAGTAAGTACTAAAGGAGAAATGTTGGTCAAACCAGAAATTTTAGAGACATGTTTGATAAGAAGTATAAACCTAAAACAAAGCCTGGATAATTTTAGACCAACAAAACAAAACAAAAAATGGTATCTGCAGTGACAAGTAGTATCTAATCTCTTTTTTTGGAACCTCTGCTTCCCAAATAAGTGTCAATACATCAGACTTTCTGGAACAAGCCTTTCACTGGAGCAGGCCATTCACCACTTCCACCTTAAGATCTGTGTTGAAATATTTGTTCTTTTCTTATCATTAACTTGATACAGGCACAACCTACAAGCCTGATCTTATATACTTTGAAAGCAATAGGAGTTTTCTTTCTGTCTCTATGGAGCAGGAACAGACACATGATGAGCTAATCTGTTGGGGAGCTCTTACATGTCAAGGCCTAATGCAAAAGACAGATCAGAAAGTCAATCTTCACAACGACATAGTTTTTAGACTTTACCACAGATACATGATTGCCCCATTCCTTTCATAGCTTAATGAACATCATCACCGCTCCTTAAATGTGCTGTAGGAACCGGAAGCAACCCTCTTTTGGAAAACTATAGGACAAAATAAACTTTAAATCAGTGCAATTTTGCAGGTTTTGGAAAACAGTATCATTTTGCATTCGGTCATTTGAAACTAGGGCCACAATTTCCATTGAAGAATCTTACTGGTTCTTGTAGAAACAATCATAAAACAGTTTCAAGTCAGCTAGTCAAAGACATATTCTTCAGTCCGTTTTTTCAAAATATTTTGATTCATGTTGTCCTGAGAAAAACAGAAAATGTTTTTAGTTTAGAAGATTTGCCTTTTCTATTTCTTCAATGCTAAAGAAGAAAAATGGCCTGATCTCTGAAATATTTAGTGCTGTGACTTAATCCTTCATACTCAAAAAGTGTTTACTTTTGGGTCTCATGCATTTATTTGCTGAAGATAAGTGGACAGTTCTTCTCAAAGTTTTTGGTTTGTTTTTGTTTTTTTTTTTTTTTAATTTCTTGCTGGAGGAGGAAAGATGTAGGAATATCTTCTTTTCTAAGCCATTCATCAGTGAATTCCAGATTAAATTATAATGATATCTCTGACTTTGGCCAGGGACTTAGAGTTTAAAGGTTAAACAGAGAGAGTAATTTCCTAGATTTCAGAGGAAAACTTTTCACTTACATAAGTTGTTTAACACTTGCTAGTGGTGACATTCATATAGTTCATCTGATAAGGTCTGCAGATGCATGTTAACCAATAAAAAGGTGTTACAGATATGTGTTAAGAAGCATGCATAGCCCCAGAAATGCCATCAGCCTTAGCTTCTTCATATTTTATAATTATTTACCTCACACAAATAAGACTTCCAAACAAATTCTTGAATGGCACAGAATCCTAGACTGGATCCCCTGAAAACTTGCATTACTTTCCACCCTAAATAATGTTATTTTATGTAACATATCAATGGGTAGTGACCTGTCAAAAATACCCTAGGTCCCACAGAACTACACTGTAGGTTTTCCTTCTTTCCACAGTCACTACCTTCTTCCTGACAGCATCTTTCATAAGCCTGAGATTTGCTGTAATGACTCTGCCAATCCTGCTTCATATTAGTAGGCCAGTTCTGCTCCAGATTACATAAATTTTACAAACATCCATTGGGTACTAATGATGGCTGTGACTGAAAAGTTTATCAGGCATTTACTGTTGTTCAATGCTGTCCACACCTTCTTTAAAGCAGCTAAATGTTTAGCTAATTGTGCTCTAAAGCACAGGCTGACATAATCACATGTCACTGGTTTACTATCAGGATAGCTTTAGTTCTTTGCGTTGTCTAGTATATACTTCCAGCAACAAATCGGAAATATCAATCCTCTATTATTCTAGGTCACTTAAGGAGTACATATTTAGACATTGGACATGTAAATCTCACAACTGAGTAATACTCCAAGCAATATATTTAAGAGATGTTTCTTAAACTGACACCAATACTTACTCAGCAGGATGTGGAAACTTCTATTCATGCTTTGCGTTCCTCTGTCTTCAAAATATGAAGTTTCAGAGGTAGTTTAAACATTTTACAATTATTTATGTAGCAATAAAAGTGCCTGTTCTTGTCATTTAATGTAAGTGAAGGGGAAGAAGAGCAAACAAAACACAAATTTGGTGGTAGGCTGCTCTGTCAATGTTTGCTTGGGAAGAGGTCCTCCAGCCTCAACAATGGAGGTGTCCTCAGTGAAGGATGTGGAGCAGGACGCTTCCCTAATAGCTCTAGGTCTGGGAATTAGAAATAGTCCATGACTTGGAGGCAGGCTGAGGAAAGGAAAATAGGGCAACACAAGTTAGAATTGTGTGAACAACGGAGTTTCTCTTTGGTGACCCAACTGAAAAATTAAACCAAAAAAAATCATTTTGGGTCAGCCCAAAGCACTTGTCCAACTCAAAATGAAACAGCTCATTTTGCTTTCAAATCTCTTTTCAACCTTTGAAAGAAAATGTACATAAAATTCTAAACCAAAACACTATTTTGAAACGTAAAACTGAAATATTTTCTTTAGAAAATGTCAGAATGAAATATTTCAGCATGATTTTCCTTCTTAGAGCTGTAACTATTGACTGAATTGAAACCCAGCTTGCCTGACTGAATCATATCTTTATTTTCTTTTGGTCAGTAATTGTTTGTCCCAGACATTTCCCCTGCTTGTAAGGGAAACCTCCTATGACTTCTACTTCCTTTGTCTGTTCAGAACTGACCATCGCCCACCATCCTGAACACACCCACAAGTCACACATGCCCTGCAAGAAAACCTATGAAGGAAATTCTGAAAAATTTGTCGTGTGACATTTCCAGGGCTCTGGCTCATGAAGTTTCCATGGTAGAGTCTTCCAGATGGTGGTTTTCAAGGTTCGAGAAGTTAATAAATAGTTGACTTGCTTTTACTTTTTTGTGGACAAATGGGTTTTCATCAGGGTTTAGCCCCAGCATGGGACACTTGAGAGATTGGTTTCACACTTCTGTGTAGGGCAGCTCAATAAGGACAATGTGGAAGAGGCCTAAAGGAAGTAGATGGAGGAAAGAAGTTAATTATTCATTTGTTAAGGGATAATATCAATAAGAAACAGCATGTGTGTGGTTCATGGTCTAGTGTCTATTTATAATCAAGGAAGAAAACAGGTACTTTTAGGGCAAAGTCATGTTATTCAGTTCAACAGTCTTTATAAACCTCTAATGTAGACCAGATGAATGACACCTGGATAATTCCTATTACCCTCCACTGACTATAGAGTTGTGTGTATCTTGGGGATGGACGGTGTTTGTCCAAGATCAGTGAGATGAATTCCCCAGTTGGTGCTTAACCTCCTTCCCTTTGCTGTCAGCTGTCACACATTCAAGTGATAAAAGATGTCAGCCAACAGCTCTTGACAACATCACTGCTTTTCCCACAGGAAAAAAAAAAAAATCCTACTGAATATAGTAAAAGATTAAAACCCAGCACTGTAACAAAGCCTGGCTGTCTGTCACTATTGGGTTACTTTTGCTTTGACTGTGAACAGGTATGTAATTCACATGCTGTGAGATGCAAGTGAGAGTGTGAAGCGAAGTAAGCCATGTTGATTGCATCTAGCTTGACAGGTAACAGGCCTCCATCATCCAGATGGATTGTATGCCAGTCTAGTATGCAAGTTACCCAATAAACTGTTAAAATTTCAGTTCACATAAACCTTGTTCAAATTAGGTATGAATGGATACTTTTATCTCAAAATCACTCTGGTTCAGGAGCAACATGGGATAGTTTAATGCCACTTCAGTGCTGTCTAGCTTCAATAGCTCATGTAAGATATGTTGAGACTTTTTTTGGAATAACTTTGAATTCACTTTGAATTTAATTGATGAAGCTACCAAGGTAGATCAAGATAGATTCCCTGCCAACATTTTCCCCATATTACAGTATTTGTTCATGGGGTGTCTTCTAGATATCCATTTAGCAAGCATTTTTGCATATGAATGTCCCTCATATGCTGTGTTTGCAAAGCTTCACCCCTCTCATCTGCACTGCAACCCAAGTCTTTTATTTGAGGACATTCATGGTGTTTGGGGTCTTTTTAGATGTGGACAGAGTGCCTGTTGCCCTGATGAATAAATAGTAAAGCCTTTTTCAATAAGTTTTCACCAGCTGTTGACAATCTGCTATTACGTATTTCCTCTGGCTTTCTCACTACTTGGATGCTTCTCACCTCTTTAACCTTGGTGCAGCCACCAATGTTTCTGGCTGTCTTTGCCCATAAGACATTGCTGAAGGACATAATAATGATGGATTAAAGTGCTTTTTAGTGACTGAGGGATTTTTTTCTGTTTGGAAAGCTTGCGTGGAGAGCACCTCACTTCTAAAATGCTTTCAAATCTCTGATGCTGCCATTAGTGCTCAGCGTGCCTATGGGACAGTCAGAATGGAGTACTGAGTTTTCAGTAACTGCCTGTTTCAGCCTGTTTGTCACCATCTCATTTGACCCAGGGCAGGACAGTTTGAGACTTTTCACCAGCAGTTATTCAAGATGGGATCTTGTCTACGGGCATACTGAGGCAAAATCAATGAACAAAACCAATAACTCTCATGAATGATGCTATTTTTCCCAACACCCTCCACAAGAAACGCTGACCCACATGATCTCTGTTAAGCCCTGGCCTGTGATGAGTTGAAATTGCAGCCTTATGGTGAAGAAGCATGTCCCCCAACTGAGACTGCATCCTTTCTGAATACAAGAATACTGACACTGACCCAGCAGCCCCACAGGCACAATATGTGTCATCTCCCTTATGTTTGAGTAAACGAGAAAAGCTCTGTAAATGGCAATATTTGATGACCAAAATATTTATTATAATAAATTAAAGAGTAAGCATTTATAAAACAATCCATCTGCATATAAATATCACACATCAGTTTTAATTTCATAGTTCACTTAACCCGCCCTGGTACAACTTCATAAATACATATCCTTGGATATTTTTCAATTAATCTACATAAATAAAAGTACTGTAAAATTACCTTAAAATAAGTTATCATTAAATATGATCAACAAAAATTATTTCTGAAATATCAACTTTTCAGGTAAAGGTCAGAAGGGGGCAACATATGCAAGAGAATTTTCCAAGTAAAAGGCTCAAAACATCCTGGCTACATATCACTGCCTACCTTAACCAAAGCTCATTCATAGGTGTCAAATCTCAGCATATAAAATAGAGAAACAGTTGCCTTATTCCTATGGAGATGAGGAGGACAGGACCATGCCTTTGAAAATAACTAATGCCCTGTGTTGAAATGAAGCTGCAAACACTGTCCTGGAGTTTTCATTTTCAAAGGCAGCAGCAATAAACATCCCATCTGTGCTCACTTAGTTTGGTATTTTCAGCACAAGTGAAAAATATACTGCTTCTGTGGGTGAGGGGTTTTTGTCCATAACAATTAATCAATCCGAGTTACAGTGAGAGTTTTTCAGAGACATCTCTTGAAGCCTGATCTGAAATTCTTTCAGTTTTTCTTCTTGTTCCCTCCCTTCTTTGGAGCATCAGTACAGGCATTTTCTATGTAGTCAAACAGTAAATCCAGTTCTCCAATGGCTTTAGTCTTTCCATTCTCTCCCAACTAGAAAAGAGCAGAATGTACGTTTTAGCATCTCACTATTTCTCAGAAAATTAAAATTAGGCTTGTTAAAAACTGAATTGAGGACTTACTCTCCTTATTCTCTTAAGTAGTTCTATTAGAATCATTATACCATAAAATATAAACTAGCTCATTCAAATCTAGTCCAGCATATACAGTTACCTGCAACGTGACTTCTGAAGGTTTAAAGTACCATAACATATGCAGAGAGTTAACAGGACAGGTGAAGGAGGGCTGAAGTGGAAACATCACCAATCTCTTCTTTAATGCCCCTGCAGGCTTCACCTCCTAAATAATCTCCAGAGTTTGTTTCATAATTACTTTAGCTTTAATCCAACTAAATGACTGGGATTTGGAACTGCATTTTTTCAAATGTTGTGGAAAAAAAGGTACCTGTTTCATTTTGCTCTTCATTTCTTCCAGGTTCTTTTCAATGTGCTCTCTGTGTCCCAAGAATTTCTTTAAAAAAAAAAAAAATCCAGATGTAACACTGGCAGCTGTATGCAACAATGTGGTTTTTTTCCTTTTTCACACCTTTCTATCAACCTCGACTTCAGTATCTTTCATCTGAGGTTTCCCTTCATATCACTGCCTTTAGCCGCTGTTTGCAGCATTCTGAGATTCAGGAGTAGCAACAAGAGTCATGACTCAGAGGAGGGAAAGACACCCAACGCTACTCACACATCTGCTCAGCTCCGAGGTCAGGGATGCCAAGAACTGTGCCACCTCCTCAGCGTATGGGTACTGGCCCTTGGCCTTGGTAAGGAGGACATCTTCCACTACAATCTCCACAATCCTCTTCATCATGTAGCAGCGGTTGTTTTCCTATGTATGCAAGTAAGTGGTCATGTTAAATCATGGCAAGAGATCAATGAGTGCTGCAGAAGGATGCAAAGAGCAGCCTCCTGGTGTAAGGCTTACCTTGATGTTAACATAGAGCTGCTGCCCAATGAGCCTGTTGTCTGTGTCCTCATCTGAGACTCTGGCCTGAGAGGAAAAAAAGGAAATGTCAGGTGGGGATGGGAACCTTACCTAAAAATTAATAATAAACCTTAAGGTTTTCATCAGTAATAGTGCAGATTAAATGATGGAATGGACACCATAGACAGTCTGTTACATAGATAAACTTGGACGTTGTGTCTGTTTCCCCCCTTAATTTAGTGAGATTCAAGGTCGGTATCACTGGAAAACAAGTAGAACTCTGAATTATTGTACCCCTCTTAAACATCAGATATGGTAGTGGTTATGATGACTAAACCAGATGCCGCAGGTGGCCGACCTCAGGGTGGCCCACAGTGCTGCTGGGAGGTGCTGCAGCACCCGATGTCAGACACTGTGGGGACCCGCTGATGGTAAGAGCAACCAAGAAGCCTGCCCAAGCAGAGCACTGTAAGAGCTCTGCCTGAGGAGCTGTCTGGCCATGGCCGGAGTCATGGGCAGGCCCAGGTCCAAATGAACTGGGAAGACAGAGACATTTAAGCTCATGTTTCACAACTGTCCCAGTCTAGCAGCAGCCACTTGAGAGAAGCTATGCTGTCCCAGGGGCTGCCTTTCCCTTGAGGAGCAGCAGGAGGAGAGACAGCAGCGTCCCCCAGGCTACTCAACCAGCAGGCAACAGACCCACTCCACACACCCAAGATCTGCCTTACTGCAAAGGCACATTTTTTTCTGGAAAAAGGCATGAGAAAGAGAGAGGAATGCCAAAGGCGAGAAACCAGGACACTGGAAGAGGAGATCCTCAGATCCCACCATGAAGGACACATGGGCTACTGTACCATTTTAGCCAAGGTGTAGGTGCGATTCCTGATGTAGGGCTGCTGGAAGTTGATCTTCCTGAGCCTGCAGGCATGATGGGTGGTAGAAGCCACCCCTATCCCATTTGGAGGCAGAGGGCTGGTGAGAAGAAGAGGGAGACAGCAACAGCAGCAGAAGATAACCCATCCTGAGAAGCTTTTGGTCAAGGTCTGTAGGGAGGCCATGGCTCACGATCCAAAGTCGTCTGTGTCAGCAAGGTTGCAGCTACAGCACTCAGCACTGATGAGAGAGAGCAGGGTTAGCATCAGGGAGAGTGGGCAAGGCAAAGTGAGAGAAGCACAAAGGGTGCAAGCCTTACCTTTGCTGTGATTCTTGATGTGCTCTACAGGAGGTGAGGTGCACCTTATATAGGGCCACCAACATCTCTTTCAGCTTTTTTTTTTTTCGGGTACTAGTGGTGAAATAAAAATGACATCAGCAAGTCTCTTACTTTCCAGTATCCTCTTCTGAGAACTACCTAACCACTGCAAAACCCACAAATACAACTTCAAGGCCATTGTAATATTTAGTTTCTTATAAAATAAACCAAATTTTAATGCAGGGCAAAGCAGGGGCTTTTACCAAGGCAGGAATCCTGAATTCTTTTCGCATAAAAACATTTGAGAAGTTTATGGGTTTGTGCCTCCTGTCCTGATTGTACCACACTAATTGGATTGGCAATTTGATGGCAGATAATGTAACATACATTTTTGTTCGTCTTCTGCGGTGAAAGACTGGTGCTCTGCTGCTGCTGACTGGTATACACACATGTCAAAGACTGCACCAAACCCAAAGCACTGGCCACCTGTAAGTGGTTCCTACCCTGCAAATACCCTTTCCCAAACAGTGGCCCACTGGAGTCACCGGCCATCTGCCCATCCTCTCTAAGACATCAGAAAATGTGTAGGACCAACACTGCATTTATCACATCCCTGATCTCCAAATTCCCATTTAAAAAAGAAAATATCCATATTCCAGGCATTAACCAGGTGTAATGACAAGACCTGTGGTCACGAACTTACTTATCCAGGTGATTTCCATGTTCCTGACCCTGTTCTGCTAATGTAAAGGCAGTGCTGCACCCTCAGTCTGAAATATCATGCAGGGTGCTAAAGGGAAACTGTGCTCTCTTTAGAGAGTAATTTTCAACCCAGCTGTAGACAATAATGCATGAGGACACAGAACTGGTACAAATGCAAAATCCTAGTTGTCTAATACCCACAAGACACGCAGGTGACAAATGTAAGAAATTGGACCTGGAAAACCAAGGCTCCACCTCTGCCTCTGAGAGTGAACAGGAGCATCCCCAGGCCTGGGCTTCATCCCTTGTGGCTGAGGTTCTCAGAACAAGAGATGTAATTAGCTTTATCCTGTGGGCTGAAATGCTCAACTCTTTTCCTTATACCTGAAAGGAAGCAGTTAAAGGCTGCCTGGAACCAGGTTTATACTTTAGCCTGCCCTGGCGCCTCCACAGCACAAATTCATCTCTCCATGCCTCAATCCTGCCTCAGTTGCCCTCAGATACCTGCCACATCAGCTCTTCACAGTTCTGAGCCCTTGAAGCTGCATCCCCTCACCGTGGAGTCATCATCACCATGTGCCCGTCTCAGGTACCCATTCCCATGCTTGGCTTCCAACATCATTCTGACTGCAGCAGGCAATAGAAAACAAGTCAGGACCCAGGATGTCAACAACCCAGTTCACACCCGAAATGTATCACAAAGCTATTTAAAAACATGTTTATAAACTCTTTTCCATAAATTTTTCATTTACCAGGCTAATAGGTCCTGTGGGGGAACAGGTTAATGAGAAGATGGGAGACTGACTTATACTTAGCCAAAGGACAGACATTAAAAACCAAACTGGGAGAAATTCAGAGAGGCAGGCTGTTTTGAAGGATTGGCCTCCCTGAAGTGCATTCCCATGAGCTCCTCTCCAGGTGATAAACACAGTCTGAAAACCAAAGTCTGCTTCTAACTGAAGTTTCTCGAGCTTCTCCACCAGCTCATCCAGCAGAGCCGAAGTCCCAAACCCAGACCAAAAGCTATGAATGGGCATTCAGACCCTCCCTGGTCCAGACCCCCTGTCCTCCTGCCCTTCTGGCAGATCCCACCTCTCCATCCCTTTGGCCATTTACTGTTGTCAGACACGGATCCAGCCTGCCTCACCTCTTCCTGTGGCTCCAGTCCCATGGGAAGGGTTTGTGACCTGGGTAAGTAGGTGCTGTACCACTCGCATGTGGTCAAACCACTGTGAGGAGCCCACGCAGTCCCAGGCTTCCCACACCTGCTGATGAATATTTAAACAACATCAGACAGAGGGATGAGGAATTAGATGCTCCATCTTTGTCCTGCCCTCTTTACAAGTTCTCCTCTGTCTTCTGTAGTATTGGAAACCATACACTGGGACATACCTATTTTCACAGAAAACATTAAGTTAGACTTGATAAGGATCTCTTTCTCTCATCTATGTTGTTAGCCACCTCTCTCAGTCATAATACTCTTTGCCTGCCACAATGCCCTCCTTGTGAGGCTTTAAAAAAGCTTTGCTTCAGTTGTTTAGTTTAACTCCCTACCTCTGATATTCACCTTTATTTTCCAGACACAGAATGCTGAAACACATATTGTAAGTTCATTAATTCATATTCCACAAATTTCCTTTTTATGATATTCCTAAAATCTTCACACGATTTCACCTTTTGTTTTCAGTTGTGAGTTGTAACAGCCTATATTCTAGCCCTCTATATTTCTGTGAGTATGGTCCAGTCCAAAAATAATAACCATTAAAAATCTTGCTGGATACTAATTTTAGCAGACTGTATGGTTCCCGTGCTCATCCGTCCACTCCTGGCCTCTTCCCAACCACATTCCACCAGATGGCTGCTGGTCTTGGATCTACTACTGAGCTGTGGTGTAGCCACAGTCATAGCTGCAGTTAATGCCTATAACATGTCAAGAGAATTTCTGTGGAAGTGGAGATATGCCTCCCATTCCCAGGGTCTGTTATTTCTGAGATTGCACTGAACAAGGATGTGACTAGTCACCACTATCACCTCTTTTGACTAGCTCACCACACCCTGGATGGAAGATACACATCCAGCATTACATCCTAGAGAAAGATGTAAGGCTAAAAACCTGCACTACCACTAGATATTACTCCAGTCCTCAGCTGAAGTCCATAGAGGGAAGGAGGAGTTGGCAGGTTTTCTACTGCACTTGAGAAAGAATTTCTCTTTCTTCTTGTTTGAGGAGGAAACACAATAAACTTCTGAAAAGTAAAGTCTTGAGCCAGCACTGAAGGTGAACACCAGGGAAATAGGTTACTTAGACACCCCTCCCCAAACAGGACACTCTGAACTGTAGAGCTGGCAGAAGAGACCAGTGGAAGGAAAGCTGCATTTAATTTAAAATGTGGTACCCTGGCTGAAACCAGCACTGGTGGGTCATACTTTGGGGAAAATGAATAAAGTGGGAAAAAACTCATCTGAAGAATGTGTCTTAAAAGAGCAATCTTTCTCACTAATTCTTTCAAGTTTTATTACTTTTTCTAGGTTTAATGATATTTTTCATGTTTAAGGCTAGTAACACTGTTTAAAATACAAAACTCTTACAAGAAAACATATCTGCTATGCTTTTATTTTAATTAAAAATTACCAAAGACCTCTGAACTTTTGTAACGTACCCTCTTCAGAGTTTTAAAAATATAATTAATTTAAAAAATAATAATTTGAAATTGTTCACAGATTGTATTTTCTCCCTGGTGTTGTCCCAAGAGTTAAACATCTATCCTACCACTGACTTCACTGCTAAACGTTTAAAGTGTAATTACATGGAGTTTCCCTAATTCATTAAGAAACCACAGTGGTTAAATATTCTCGACAATGACTTCTTGACCCATATTGAAGACAGGATTTTTTGAGGAGGACTGGAACTCTACATCATGTCTGCCTCAAAAGCCACAGACACTTCCTTCTTACTTTGAATAAGGCCACAGGTGAATAACCAATGTACTTTGATGTTCAGCTGTTGTGTATCATCACCAGTATGCTGGCATGCAGAGATTTTCTTGAGCTTTAATACTTTTCCAATCAGCTAGGACTACATTATTAGAAACATCCTCAGGATCACTAGAAACATTGTCAAGAGCAGGCATGTGAAAGAGTGAGCCTCTGTATTGTACTCTTGGGTCTCTTACCTGGAGATGAAATTCTCCCCCCCTTAAACATCTGTACATCAACATAGGTCACATAATGCCTAGAGCTGAACATGCAATCTATGTGGAGACATCCTCAACTTTCAGGTCCCACTCATTATCTTCATTTTGCTCTAGCTCATTTGTGAGCTAGTTCATTGCATTTTAGGCCAGTTCTCTGCTTTTGCCTAGACTTTCAAGCTTGACAAAATTAAAGCAGACTTTTAAAATGTTTCAGCTCAAGCTCCAGTGGAGCCTTATTTTAGTCAGCTCTCTGCCCAGCGATGAAAACATCAGGAATGGAAGTTGATTCTGCTTTACAAAACTTGAAAATAAGCCTTTCTGTAATTCAGCCATTCATTATGGAGACATCCTAGTAGATGGGCAAATCTCTTCTGCGCATCGTCATTAGGAATGGCAGAAGGGATTAATTTTCTATGGAGGAAACTATACCAACACACAGTATATTTTTGCTTTGTTCATGATAGATTTAATGTTGTGTAAGACACTGTGAATGTTTTGGAAGGAGAAGAAGTAGTAGTATTAGAATTGCTTAGCCTAGGAGTGTTAGGTGGCTTTGGAAAAGACGTGTCAGATCTCAGTACAGACACTGCTGACTCAGGCTTTTTGCAGAGGATGTGCAATTCACCTAACCTCCCCTGACAGTAACACCTTTGTTACAGTGAATAACACATTTCCTCTGACAGTAACACTTTTGCTTATATATCTGATATTTCATCAAACATCTTTCTTTCTTACCTTCACTTGGTTCTGTTATTTAATTTCTGGGTACCCTAAGTATAAAATGCTATATAATAAACATTATTAAACTGATATATCATAAAAAGTCTAAGTAGAAGGAAACTAATAGTTCATTGCAGTCTCAATTTTAAATTACATTCTGGGACAAACAAAACCTCTTGGTTCAAATATCTTTATTCTCACATCAGTAACATTCATGTAGTGGAGATCCAAGGGAAAGCCACCCAGTAGATTGAGACAATACTGTACAGCTGCTACCAACACTATTACTGCTACCGCAGGACCACTGATGTGGTAATTTTTACTGCAGTGCCAGGAAGATTCAGGTATTAATATGAAAAACAAAAAAAAACAAAAGCAAAACCCAGTCTCAGTGGAAGTGTAATAGATGTTAGTCCAGTGGTTCTGCCTCTTTAGACAACTGCTGTCGACATCAGTAAAGCATAAACAAGTTTTAATACAACCTGCCAATAGTTCATGCAGACAGGAGAAAAGAAAGTGCAGACCATTTCAGTGCACAGAGCCCCACGCCACCAAAGGCACCACTATGAACCCTTCCACCAGTTGGCCGTTTCTTTTAATTCAGAGTGTAAAGTCACACATATATTATGAGACTCTGTCACTTTATAGAGTGACCTACATATATCCAACTATGTCTTGCGAACAGTCAGATCAGGTGAACTGAAACTTCTGGGCTTCCTGTTAATGTGGTGTGGTTGCACAGCAGCGAGTCAGTGACATGGCAAAGTGGAATTACTGACATAGTATATCTCAAAAAAACCCACTCGAACTGGGAACAGAATTTTGCAAACTGGTTTATAATCCAAAATTCAGCAACAGTTATTCAGATTACGCAATTACTCAGATTAAGAAATAGCTCCAGCATTATGCACCATCAGTTTTATCACATAATGAATCCACATCACCTTGATTAGTTAAATAAAGCCATTTTGAAGGGACGCAACATTATTTAAGGTAGAGTACTTGTGCCCAGACACTGTCCATACACCAGCACTTTTACAGAGGCTCTGAGCTCAGCATCATCTCCTGAAAGTGAGACCCTGGCTGCTCAGGTATTCTGTATAACAGGGCTGCTAGAGAAGGAAGTGACAATTCCCATGTTGTAAACAGTAGTCTTCCAGTAATCTTCCATTCCTAGGAAGTCAACAGTCCGTGTCCCAGCCTTTCCCCAGCCCAAGGTTATGCTATTGCCCAACTCCCAGGAGAGCCTCTGAATCAGCGAGTTTCCTGTTGAAGGGTGACTACTGTCAAGAATGGGAGATTTATGGGAACAAAAGGAGACCAAACAAAATAGCTACAGCCTAGCAATTAGGATGCTGTTTTCCTGGGTTATCTGTTTTTAGCCACATGTTGTATAAACTAAAATACATAAACAGGCTGGAGCCAGTTTCCCACTGGAAACACAAAGAGCATACTCCTCACAAGAGCACTGTTCTGGGAACTCATGGACCCAGTCCAGTTGGGTGGCACCGAGTCTCAGCAGGTTTCCCCCAGCCCAAGCGACCTTGGGGTGAGAGATGGGCACCCAGCTCTTCAGAACAGGGTGCATCCACAGATGCCTGTACATATGTGTCACACCAACCCAGCAACCAGACGGGGTCCGAGGAAGGGAGAAATCCGGAAGTACAGGCTTTCTGGATCCTGTCAACCTATTCTACTTCAAGTCTTGATGTAGGTGCTTTGGAAACATCCCAGCACATGACAGTATTAAACAAAGTCACCTTGAATAAAAAAAACTTTTTTATATATACATACACACACACATATATACATACACAGACATATACAATATGTGTGTATAGCAGATTTAAACACAGTTTAAAGGAAAAGCTTTGAGGCCCACTCAAAACCTGCACAGGTCACTGCCTTAGTTATTTCAGGAAAGGTAAGCTGGCATAAATGTGAATTAGTCATATTTACAAAGTAGATACCCACTTACCGGGAGACTTTATGAAGACCTCTGAAGAAAGTGGGGAGTGAGAAGCTTCAGTTGTCCTTTTCCCCTCCACCAAAGAACTGCCTGCACTAAGGAGTATTTGCTGCCATGACTGTACCACCAGACTCTGTCTGCAAAGAGCAAGCTCATACCAGCAAATGAGTAGTTTTGCTCTTATACTTTTATTCCCATGAATGGAATAAACTGATCCAACAAAAGGTGTGTAAGCTGTAAACACTATCAGGCCTTGTTTGCCTTCCCAAAGGACTGCCAGTCACCAGGCAAACCTTGTGCAGCTCTCAGTCCTCCACCCTAACAAGACACTGCAAGACAACCGAGCAACATCCTTCAGTTTCTCAAAACTCATCCCACATGTAGCACATTTGGCATGCCAAGTTCAGGTTTGCTAGGCAGGGCCCAGTTGCTCCACAAGTTTCTCTAGAACACAGCCTGCAGAACAGAAACCTCACAAGGTCAGCTCACATTTGACACAGATGAACTGTAGTGAGTATCAGAGTATTTAGGAAGGTCATTCACATTTTTAACATGAAACTCCGTATGTCCTTGAACACAACACTAACTCAGATCTAAAAGAAAAAAAAATGGATTTCTATGAAACTGGATTTTTTGGTTATCTACCATCCACTATCCTGTCTCTGGCTTTTGCTTTCAGTGTGATCACTGCTATGTGAATAACTTTCCCACTGGGTTTCAATGCAGAACAAAGCCAAAGAACTGACTGTGAACCAGAATTAACCGCAGCTCCACCATCCATCCCTCTCTTTACAAGCTCCTCCCTACAAAGATTTGAATGACTGCTGAAATCACAACATTAATTTGGTAATTTTCATGTGAAACAACCTATTTGGCTTGTTTTCTTTATCACACATTTATGTGCATCTGGGTAAGGGAAAAAAATTGCTTCAGGCTACACTAAAAGTTGGTCAACGAGGGCACAGCAGAACTTTCACTTGCATCAGAGGGTGATGGGGATCTTTGCTGACAAATGTTACCAGACAGTAAGAACTGCTCTCATACCAGAACATTAGGTACCAGCTCAGCCTTGCCGGAACAGGCAGATATAATGAAGCAGTAGGATATTATGCAAATAAGCACGCACTAAATTGTTCAAAGAAGCTGTGCTTCCTGCTCCATCTTGAAGTACTATAAATTTGCTCAAGTATTACAGATAGTATTTGGAAATCCCTTTTTCCTCCACTGCTATCTGCCAGAAAGCAAGGACACCAAGAGTCAGCTAAGGAAAACATCTTAGTACCTGGACTCGAAGAATTTGTGAGTGAAGGAGAAAGCTGGTGGCTGGTAAGTAACTTCACTTCCTTTCACTTTTTTGCAACATACACTGGGTTTCAGGCTGTGGCACTTAGGTCCAGGGGGAACTCAGGTTACCTGTAAGGCATCAGCGAAGGCAAATCTGTTTTCATGAGGTTGTTACTCACTACATAAGGATTCATGTGAGCAATATAGAAGACATGGATCTAGTCATCAAAAAATGCTGAAAAATCCCTATACAATAACATACTCACAGTGATTTAAGTATCACTGGACATCCTTAAAACTTAATCCAGACTGTATGTCCCAAAACCACATCTTGTTGCCTACACCTTACTTAAAAGCAATCTAGCTCTGATGGTTAAAGAAACTTGACTGCTTATATTTGTAAGGTTAACAACATACATACTTCACTTTTAAGCTTCAGAACTCACCTCACGGAAGCATTAAAATCAGAAAGCAACACAAAATATTATTGCAAAAGTAACACATTTTAGCAGGATTTTTTTAATTGGATAGGATTATCCACAATTCCAGATGTTCTCCCAAACTTCCCTGCAGAGCTGGAAAGCCCCTATCAATTCTTCTCAAACTGTTCTATCCAGGGTTTATGGGGTAATTTCAGCATTTTAAGTAGAGAAGGCTCATGCATTGTGAAAGGCACTGGAAATTCAGACTCTGAAAAGAATGAAAGCCCAGAACTGTAAAGGGATGCAAGTGTCTAAATACTACCTTGCTGCTACTGTAAACATTTACCTAAATCCTCAAAACTCTCTTCCTGCCCAGGGACATCAAAACCTCCCTGGAGAACCACCTAAATGCTGAGAAAGGTGCTTCAATCCCTCCTGCTGAAGTCATTCCATGAGAGAGGGGGCCAGAAGGAAGAGGAGTATCGTAGAGTGGGCCAAAAGGAGGAAGAGGAGGATGGTAGAGTGCACATAGCTTTGGGAATAGGGAGAACTTTGTTCCAACCCCTACTCCACCAACCATTTTTATCCAAAAATGGATTCAGTAGGAGAAACTGGGAGCTCACTTCTCATTCCCACAGACAGGCAACAAGCTTACTATCTGGCAAGACAGGAAGTTTTTGAGAAGTGACAGACTGGAACCAAGTCTGCTCTTTGTGGGCTTGCTGGGGGAACACTTTATTGACAGGAATACTGTGCAAAGGAAGGCCTTTTCCCAGCTGGCAGCAGCCAGTGAGAAAGAGCCAGTGAAAAACAGCAGCTGAGACATTCAATTCAACACTTACTGACTGGGTCCATCATTAATGTGCTGGCTTTTTAAATCTTGACCTTCATTCAACAAGCTCCCAAAGCTGTTTATTCCTTAGATGTATCTCCTATTGGCAACTGACTTTCTCCTTGTTTATCTACTTGACCTGTTTCAAGGCTTCTAAGATTTCCTTGACAAAAAACAATATGCATTCACTGTACAGCACACACTTGTAATTATTATTAAATGGTGCACTTTTGAACCCTTTCTCCATGTTCAGCTTGCTGGAAAACACAACAGGAAACCTGTCTGAAGGTTGGTCTCAAACATTCAGAAAAACAAAAACCCCTCTTGAACTAGATAAACAACAAAAAGCAGAAAGCAGGCATAAAAAATTTCATGTCTGCCTTAAAGACTACAAAAGAGGACCCTTCAGAGTTCTTACACTAGCATCGCTCAAAAAAGGTATTTTGTCTACATTTCCCTTAAATACTTCTGTCTCAAAGCAAATTCAGTTAGAACATTTCAGGCAAAAGCTAAAATTTGTTCAGATAGGAAATAATGTTATGACGATGTGTGGGACACAAGAGGCTTCCATTCTTATCTCTAAATTGGGTTTGTATCCCCATGCAACATAAATGTCTCCCTCCTTTACAACACGTATTGTCTCCCTGGCAGAAATCAACATACACGTACGATACAGTACACACCTAACAAACTCAAGAGCTAGCCAGATGCACCAGACTCACAGTGCAATACTGTAAGCAAAATTGGCACATATACTGTTATAATATCTATGAGTTAGGCCTCACAAAACCTCTTGACAGAGCTGTCAGATAGCCAGGAATCCCAGGCAAACCTAGAAATCCAAAATACTTAAAAAGTGGACACAGTTCATAAAACTCAAATTACAGTTACCACAAAGTAGTAGTGGATTAGAGCTCTTGGCCATGAGAATGTGTTGAATAAGAACGTAGACAAGACGCCCAAATTAACCCACCTGCAATATACTGAAGCAACACTCCCTCCTAAACAAAAATGTTTACATTTTTTAGCCATTAAGTTCTCTGTTATAAAACTATTTTAGAGGAAATCTGGCAATTTTCATAAAGGCTGTTGCACACAAATACAGTTTCCTTTTCAGTAGAAACTTTCTGACCAGTTATAATTTACATATTAAGTGCATGCCACAGAATAATCCCAGAACTCCTCAAGATCTAATAAAATACCTTGATTTGTTTCAAACAACTCCACTTGTAGGAAGCTACTGCAATACATGATTTCTGGAAGAAACGGACACTGTTTTCTAACATGATCAGTGCTGGATATAGCACTCACTCTTTAAATCAACACCACATTTGTTCAGGGCCAGCCCTTTGGGCATTGCAGCCTTCCAGTCTGTGTAACATCCATCTGCTCTGGGTCACGATTTCAAGTATCCGGAGCCCGCCATGATTCCAAGTATCAACATATCTAGCTTTAGTAACTTACTCCTTCTAAAGATCAGTTCTGAGGTAACTTCTTGTCTTTTAGAAGTTCACAGACATTCCAGGTGAACAGGTGAAATGGAGAACTAAACAGAGAAGTGTCAACATAACAGGCTCTACCGATTTATCTGGCATAATTTGAATAGAAAAAAATCAAACAGCCTTTTTTATTTTCAGTAATATGCATACATAACTGTGTACAAAATCAAAATGTAATCAAATGTATACAAAATTCAAATTGTTCTTGTAAAACTTGAAGCCACACAAGAACCAAATTGCCTGCTAGCCACCTATTTCCTCTACTTCATGTTAACTTGTTTGTACTGCTTGGAAAGATAAAACAAGCTGTCAGCATAAGTCACAAACATTTTTCCCTGTGACAATCATAACAGGCAACTAGAAGGAGAGGTAATTAAAATGTCAAGGAAAAACATTCTTCTGAGTTTACTTTAAGAGATCAACTACTTCTAAATACCTGAGTGTGAAGTAGGGCTGGGGAAGGCCACTGTTTAAGGTGGCTGAGGTTGATTTTTCTAGAGAAGTTGAAGTTAACACTAAACATGGTATTGCCCACAAAAAGACAAATGCTCATACCAGTGCATCTAACAAACTGCAGTATTGTACTTTAATAGTCATCCTGGGCAAAAAACTGTGGACAATGAACAAACCTTAAAGCTTAAGGTCTTTTCTCAGTAAGCATTTTTTGGTAAAAGATTAAAAACACTAAGTATAAAAATTAACTTTTTGTACAGCACTGAGTTGTACTGACAACTCATACAGTAACATAAACAAATATACCCCAATTATCTTTAAGATAGCTCATTAAAATCAAGCAACTGAGGTACTTGGTGAATTATGGTGTTGCCCTTGAATACTGTCCCAGGTGATACTGCACGACTACAGCAGAACACCTTGAAAAATAACACACAGGTTGCATAAAAAAATAATTATCTTGGTTTCAAGAAGTACCACTGTTAAAAAAAAAAATACAACCCCAAATGGCTGCTGTGACACAGTGAATTAAGACATAACTCAGATATAAAGGACATACATTTTCCACACTGGTTTAAATATTGAAATTTTAAATTGGAATGGCAAATCCTAAAAGCTGGGCCATATTAGTGACAAGTGAAAGGATGCTGCATGATATCTACAATGACAATTTTTTAAAATGTACACTACCAACTATAAAAAAATACATCGTTTTACAGAACAGTTTCTATACATCAGGTGGGAGAGATTATGTCTTGCCCCAGAAATCCTTCCTCTTCTGAGCTCGTTCCAGTATCTGAGACGCAAGCGAGCTAGATGCTGCCGAGCGAGCAGAAATCTGAGACAACCTGTCATCTGTAGGGAAAGCAACAAGGGAAAAAGTAAATAGGAAGAGTAAATATACATATTAAAACACAGTTGACATTCATGGTAGACTTTGAGAGAGCAAATATTTTTATGCCCTCTTTCACAATGAATGCTGAAATATACCATGATACACTTTAATTCTATTACTTGTTAAGTGACCATGGTGAGAAGAATCTCACTAGAAAACTACTAGAATGCTAGCTAAATTTAAAAGAGCTACATGCCCAACTCTTGACAGACTCTAGAATGAGATCCCTGCTGTCACATGGAAATTGTCTGATTCTCCAAGTCATCTTTATATTTCCTGTGTCAGAAGACCTCAGAAATCATTCCTCTGCCACTGAAGTCTGTATAGACTCTGATAACAACATATTCATGAAAGCAACCCACTGCTTCAAACAAAGAAGACAACCTTCAAATAACACGACTAAAATATTAGAACCTATGTTGCCAAAAGAGCCCTTCTGTGCCAAAACCAGCTAGTGTGCCACAAGCTGTTAAAAGAAATGCATCTTCTGAAGAAAACAGGAAGTTTAACAGAAAGACATGAAGCATCATGCTTTAAAAATGCGCTTTTGAAAGGTCTTCCTTTTGAATACAGCATCAACTTCACACCCAGCGGAACTCTTAAAATTAAGCAGCCTGGATGTTGCTTCTCTGATAAAGCACAACATTTATACTTCTTTAACATCATTATTAAAATGTTACTACAGTTCTGTCAAGATGCTCTCTATGAAAAACAACCTTAATTACACCCATTCTTCAATGGATTAAAAAGAATTGTATCACTACTTTCCAGTCCCTTCTACCAATAAAACCAAAAAAAAATCCACAATTCAATCCTAACAGGACCTGTACTTTGTCAGCGTTTCAGTTAACTTTTTAGTAGCATTTCTAAATTCTTGAAATACAATGATCCAAACAGCCCGCTCGCACACTATGCATAACAACTACAGTCCCACGTATGAAGAAACTGCTAACCGCACTTCTGCAAACAGACATGTCGTTGGAATAATTCCCAGCTTTGTATGTACATGAACAAATATGGACATAAGAAATATCTGTGAGCTGGCACATTGCACTGGTTTCTGAAAGCTCCTACATGATCACTCAGCTCATAGGAAAAAAAAGAAAAAGAAACAGCAATTACAGCATTTAATCTGTGTGCAGCAAGCTTGTGGGGAAGCTGCAGAGTACGATAGGATTTTGCATGTTTTCTGCAGATACACAGATGCTTGGCTGAGCCATCTGCACAACCCACACATTTTCCAGCCAACTGCAATGAGTAAAATAGAGAATCGGCCCGAACCTCGGTTAAAACCAAGGAGCAAACAAGCGTTAAGGGGTACAGAAAAAACCCTTTTGGTTGTTCTGGGGTATATCTATAAATAAACTACAATCAGATATAAGCTTGCTCTGCCCATACTCTAACCTGAACAGGTGATTGCAAGTAGCATAGCACCATACCCAGCTCAACCTCATACACCATGCTAAGAAACAATGCATAGCAGCTCAGGCTAATGAGGCTACAGTGCCTTTGTTTGACTCATGCTACTAAGTTTTTATGTGTCTGCCCACAAAAGGGCCATGAAGATGCACTGGTGGGCTGTGCGCTGCCTGTTCCCCCAGATTAACTTTACAGTAAACAGAAAAAAAGGCCAAAACAGCAATCAGGATAACAGGATGCTATTAAGTACCCCTAATATACTGAACAGAGGAATAGGTGGGAAAATTAAAGTCAGAGGAATCATTTTATGCTGCATATTTGGTGCTCAAGTCTCATGAGCAAAATCTTTATCTGAAGATTTCTGGTACTTTTTAAGTTGCATCCAAAGTTATTGCAGCTGCAACCTGGACTGTACTAATTTTTCAGTTTGCTTCTGTTGCTATCAACAAAAAGCCTTAAAAAAATGCATGGGGAGGAAATTATTTTAGCTATGGAACTGAGAAAGCTCTAGTAACCTTATTGACCCACAGTGGTCTATTTAATTTTCAACACATTTAATGGTTTATTTATACTAGAACATACCTTCATATTCATGCTTCAGATTACTAGGATGAATATTTTTGAATTATTCTGACAAAACAATGTAGTTAGCTACTCATGCATATACATAAACCAGTATTACTGCATCCAGAAACCTCTCACATTAGTACAAAAGTTAAAATTAATCTAGGTATATTACACATCATATACAATAATACTTTGGGACAAGAAATACCTTCATCATTATAGTTTCTTTCTGGAAGGGGTAACTGGAAGGATCTCATTTTTGGATTGCCAACATTCCCTAAGACAAAAGACAAAGGCACATTTTTGAATAATTTCAAAATAGACAAAGAATAATATTTAATTTTAGAATATTTTAAAATGTTTACCACATTGTTTCCAAAACACAACTCTTATAAATAGCAAACAAACCAAAAACTCCACAAGACTCCTTCATTCTAAGCTGAATACTTACTCCACTGTATTCTTCTCAAAGCTCCTATCTTTGGTAGATGGTAAAGTTTACTTAGTGAACTGCACTTGAGATGCAGAGCCAGAACATAGCACCGATTCTAATCTCCTTCTAAATTCTCTGGATTTCACCATCTCACTTAACCTGACAACTACTTGTTCCATTCTAGAATGGAAATACCACTTCAGACTAGCTAATCTTTACAATAAAAAGACCAAGAATTGTGGGACCTTAAGCAGCTATAGAAATTTCCGGAATGGAGACTTAAGCACATGAACTTTATTCTGACTAAGGGGTGAAAGATTCTTTTCTTTATCAAATTTATGCCCCCAGTACTCCTAAACATTGTTAAAAATCTTTGAAATGCTCCAGCACAAATTCCTCTTCAGCCAAGAATGGCTTCTCGCAATATCCAGTAAATCTTTTATGGATGGCTTTTTTGTTTCCATATCCTGTAGAAATATTTAAGGAGCTTATCTCTCAGAAATCCACAACTCCTGCAAAATAATACTACATTATGAAGGTCCCCAGTTACGCAACACTGTTGGTAACTGCAGCTGGAAAAGCGTCACAGCATCCAGTTGTGCCTAAAGATTAAAAATTGTAACTTCATGCTAAACCAAATTATTCTCATAATGACTAAGTACTTACTGAAATTAATAAGGCAAAATTAGATAAGTAACCACAAGAATACTATGATATTAGAGGAATCTGAAACTAAGGTGAAGAGTCATGCACATTTCTATTACACCTTTAGTCTTGCTGAGGAAACACTTTTGTTTACAAACAACACATTCTTTGTACAGTCTGTGAGGCAGCAAGCTAGCACTCTCTTGGCCTGAACACCCCATGGTAGCCACTTTCATCCTGCAGCACTCTAACACAGCCAGTTAATACACAAAACTCACCATTATGCTGGAATTCCGGATCCTTGAGAGTCCCTTGAATACGACGAGAGGGACTCCAGCCAGGCATAGAGCAGCTTTTGGCTGACTTCAGCACAGGAGGTGTAGAGGAATGCTCTTGACTGGCTGGAGCAAGAGGAACTTGCTCATCAGAAACACTGTTAGAAGGCCCCTCATCCTGCCTAAGTGGCAGAGGATCCAAAGTTCCCAGCCCAGCAGGTGGAGAGGTAAGGAGTGAAACAGCTTCCACTTCCACATCAGGCTAAAATACAATAGAAAGGGGAAAAAAAAAAAAAAATCAAAACAAAACCACAAAACCCCAACATCTCATATACAGCCTTCCAGTACAGATCCTCACTTAGGCAGCAAATGTTGCCTTTACAATGTTACACTTCTCATGAGGGTACTGGAGGGATAAGTATTTCAAGCTTGTGAGACAGCTTAAAGAAAACCTCCTAATAGTAAGTGTTTAAGACAGTCTGAAAGTAATCTAGTCAGGTCAAACCAAAAGCTTATTTTCTTCACAGCAAAAAACAGTATTCTTAGATTTTAGACCAACATAACCAATTTTTCATGCAATTGTGTCTACTTCTACTACAGAATTAACTACAGAAGATGCCTTTGTAGAACACAAGACAATGCACAACTTGACAAAAAAAACAGTTTTGAGAGGAAGGCAGTTAAACAACTCTTAAATGTTTCTATTGCTCTTTTAGTAACTATGCAATCTGCAAAGTAAAAGAAACACAAAAGTAAAGGGAGAATGAAACTATTATGACACGTTTATCTATCTTGTACATAGGCACCCAACTTCTACTTCTTGAATTCCTTTCAAGTCACAGAAATGCCCTATGTCAGTGGCAAGCTACAGTAACATTAAAGGGAAATCAACAACTACTGACAGCAATTTCTTTTAAAAAATGGATCCTGTGCATTTAGCAGGCAAAGTCAAAATGAAGCTTATCCAACCTCATTCCAACAATCTCAACCCTTTTCCTTAATAAACCCCCAAAATTATTTATTCACCTTTTTTTAGTCCCAGATTATGAGAATTTTAGAATAGAGAATGACAACTCAAGAAAAAAAAAAATTAAAGAAATTATTCACAACTACTTTAATAGCACATTCCTAAAATGGATAATGGTAAGTCTCTTTTCTGGCTCACCTGGAAGGACCTTCTTTTTGAAGCTTCTCTTGCCCCTTGCTTCGCTGAAGAAGGGTCTATTCCTAAAGCTCGCGTTCTCTGATGTGAAGACGAAGACTTGAATTTAGGAGGAGACACTAGAACCGCACCTCCTATTGTAGTGGAGAAGATGAAAAATGCTTTATTACCTTAAATAACCTAGTAAGTTAATTCATACATGTCTGTTTTTCTTTAGTTCTTGAAATACTGCTTTGCATTTAAAAGCCTTTTTACCAACAGCTGGAGTGGTGAGATCATGATGAGTCCTCTGAGCTCCACCAAGCTCTCTCAGCTTCGGAGTAGGAAGCCTTCCGCCTGTCCTTGAGGATACAGAAGAAGAATCTGACACAGCTGCAGAAGAATTCAATCCTAAGGCATTCTCACTGCAAAAAAAAAAAAAAAAAAAAAAAAAAAAAAAAAAAAAAAGAGATATGATTAAAGGATTAGCTAAGGGCTCAGAAGTCTTGCACTCAAGCATTTTGCTTCTAATACATTCCTACAATGAGGCCTAAGGCAAGACAGTTAGAGCCATAAAACACCAACAGCCTGTAGCTAAAACATCTGCTTGCAATGGGCACTTCTGGATTCCAGCCCTTGAGCCTCAGTTTCCGTATTTTATATTTTTTCTCTATAACTGGATAAAACACAGAAACAGCCTCATGCTGCAAATTCGGGCTGCTTCTCTCTTGAATGTATTGCACAGTAACAGAGACTCAAAAGGAGAACTGGAAGGAGTACTTGCCCAGAAAAACTTTGAACCTGGTTGCCACCTTAGAGGTGGAATTTTGTGGCTTTGACTCTTTTCAGTCAATGTGGTGGAACTGAAACCAAGTATCCCACATTTACATAACCACTCTAGCCCCCAGGTTATTAAATAAATCAGCACTACCACTTCTGTCTTATTCCTCCAGATGCATTTCAAAAGGAGGTGGTTGCATACCCACACTGCAAGAACCTGCTCCTACCAGTGCATGCTAGACACAATGACATCTAGGCAAACTCTTGAGCAGGCTTAGGTAACATGCAAGTGTTAAGCTGCTCTGCATGGCCAAGTCCAGAGCAGATCTCAGCACATACACACAGAGCCACACTGCAGGATGACAGAAAATCTTCAATGTCAGAGGCACATACACAGACTAGATAATCTTCACAATTAGATAGAAACTTAAGAAGGTTTTCAGGATGACAGTTTTGAAAGCCTGCATTTCATTTCTAGTGGAGTCTAGCATCTCAACCTGTCTTTGCCTGGATTTTGCATAGAGGGTATTATCCCTAAAGGAGACAATTACAGTTCCTTACCTTGGATTTGTGCTGTAACACTAAAGATAAAACTCAATGAGGAATATAAAATGCTTAGATGGTACTAAGGGCCAAAGTTACTCAGATTTAAATGTCTATGAAACTAAAACACTGTTTACCAAAAAAAGTATGCAAAACTTGCATGGTAAAAAGACAAAGACTTCTGTAACTAGATACAGTTTGGATCTTTCAACTGTCAAATCAAGTACTATGCACTGTACTATGCACATACTGAATTCACCACTCATTATTTCTAAATACTCCTCCACCTTTTTCCCACCTTTGCTCAATAACATAATCACTGGTGATTACTGGATGCTAGTGTTGTGGTTTAAGCTTAAAGGGCACCTGGGATGCTTAAGCACGAAATTAACAGGTATTCTATCCTTTCAGTCCTATCAATCCTGTGCTGTATTTGAAACAAATTGTGAGCTTTAATTTTCACTACACTTGGCTGCTGTGTTTGTTCCAAGAGGCCCATACTGCAAATTTTAAAGTTCTGGAAAAAAACATCAGAATTGTTCATGCTTCTAGAAACTTCTGTCTTGCAAGTTAGAAATCCAGTATTCTTAATGATAGATCCATTTCCATCAACCAGCTCAATGTCTTGAATTTTCTCATTCCTTATCACACTGTTAAAACCAAAAGTAGTGTCACACTAACTTATACCCTCTTAAGTGAAGCTGATTTAAAAACAAAAATTAGTTAACCTACAGATTTCCAAGATGATTGAGGAAAAAAATTATATATATACACCACAAAAATGTTCAGTTTTACCCTTCAATTTTCTTATCTTCATTGGCATCCTTACTGTTTTCTTTTAACTGCTGAGCCATGACTGCAGCCTGTTCATCTTGGTTTTCTTTCTCTTCTGTTGATTGCCAATTCTCTCTTTCTTCAGTACCTTCTTGTTCACCCCAAACTAAACGCCTTTTGACTGGAACAGTTAAAGCATCTGACATGTCTTTCTTCTCAGTGCTGTCCTGCTGTGGCTGTTCTCTGGAGTCAGGTTGCTGCAGCATTTTGGGGCTTGGTGCAGTGTCTTTTTCAGAAACTCTAGATAACAAAGAAAGCAGTGTTTCATAGTATTGATTTGGTCGATATACACTTGTCTATGTAGAGCACATTCATCCAGTACAGTTCTTTGCCAAAAGTACAGCTCAGATATTAAAAAGTGGTACAGTTGACATGATGAATGGTTTTATTTCCAACTGAAGTTTTAACTGATGTTTAAGCACAACCCCTTTTCAAACTAAATTCTATGAAAACTCTTTCTGGATTATCATTCCCAAAATCAGAATGTAAAATTAGGGTTCCATTTCCCATTTCACAATGTTAGATTATCAGAAGTACTCAAAAAATAACTAGTTCCATGCACAGACAATGTCCGATGGCACAATTTTGAGAGCCAAGCAGTTTAGACTCCTCTTTAGGCACAACTTTTGAAAGCCTTAAACTCTCAGTTCCTCACAGAAATCAGTGTAAATTAGCCCAGTGCACAGAAATGAGACCAGTAAGAGGTTCTGTATATCCCACACAAAAATCAAACCAGTAAATCGAAAAATTTACACCATACTTAGTATCACATATTATAGTGTAATAAATACTCTTTTACGTGTCACCCCCCAACCCTTATTAGAGCTACAGTCATGAAATGGGTAGATCCCTCTCACACACACAAGTAGAGTGCATACAGCAGTCTAAGTGGACTGCAGACAAAGGCACTGTTTTTAAATATCAGACCTAAGAAGACACACAAATGGCTTTTTGTTTCCTCCTTGCTTTAGAATAGCTGTCTGTACATTTTACTAAAATACTAATTCTGAATTTTCTTAGCAAGGGATTTAATATCTGCCAGTTCTGATGGTCTTCAAAGAAAGGAGAAAATGGATGTATACCATTCCACTTCCTAAGTCTTCATCTCAGAACTAAACAGTGTCTAAGATTCAACCATAAGATTAATTAATCCTGACAAGAACACTGATAACACCTGAGTAGACAAAACATATTTCATGTCATTCTAGTGGAAAGAATATTACTTCAGTATGACTCAGTGCAAAATTCCTCCAGACTTGATGAGACTAAGGTTGCTGCACTAAATACGCATTTGTGGAGAATTATAAACAAGTAACTTTCTCTTCTTTCAGAAGACTTGACTGTGCCTCATTTTCAATGTGAGCACAGATCAACTGACCTATCTGTGAAGAGGTAAATATCCTGATCTGTTCTAGAGAATTTACATATCACAGAGAGGTAGAACAGCCCAGGTTGGAAGGGTCTTCAAAAGACCATCTGGTCCAATGTGTCTTGGGGAAAGGGAGCCTAGATGACATTACCTAGCACCCTGTCCAATTACATCTTGAATACAGTCAAAGCATCCAAGATCTCACAGCTATGCTAAGTCTATATTCAGTTATTTTGCTCTGTTTCAAAGCTACAGAATAACAGGCAGGGATTACAACCTTACCCAGCAAGATCTAGTGCTCTGATGTTGTTGCTGATGCCTTCTTCTGAACTGGAATTTGAGGACACATCCCAAAGACTATTATTATCTGACAGGATCTGATTGAGATGGTCTCGAGAGAAGTGTGTTCCCTCTACTCGTCGCCTGTAAGCTTTTGCTCTTTCTCGAAGTTCTCTCACCTGCACATCAAGGTTTCATACGTTACATATCTGTTTAACGTTCACTAATAGGCTATATTATAACGTATTTGCATTAGCTAATGGCAACTAAAGGAGAAAGGCAGGTTATTCATAATACAGGGCCACCCATAGCACAAACATTGCATGCTGCAATAAATGCAACAAAAAGCAAGCAAAAATAACAGAAGTGTATATTTAGTAAGCATGTCTGAGCCACAAAGCCAAAGCAAAATAGTCAATTACTCATTCAATGAGCACAACAAGTTATGCAGCAACTATTATTGTTTAGTGCTGGATTCTAGTACTCAGTACTCAGACACAGTGCTCCAAACATAGAAACTGGAACTTCAATGCAACCAACCTCCATATACCACATGGAATTTATGGTGTTCTGAGATGCCTAAGGAGAGGAATACAGAATTATTTTAAAACTTCTTATTCTTCTCTCAACACTGTATTGTTATTATCACCCTAGTAAGTTTATTTCACTCTAAGAAAGAAATTAAATTCTAAAATCCTGTCAACGTAGCTCTATGCTGCCTCCCTGAGATTCAGTAAAAAGCTCTAAAACTAATATATCAGCACTGGTATTTCACCAGTTTTTGCCAACCTTGAGGAAATTAATTTAGATTTCTAAGTCTTAACACTCAAAAATACATTCACCACACACTGATTCACGATTATTTGAAGCCAAGAGATCTGTGTGTATGTGTAATAATGAGTTTGTATGCTTTGAACATTGCAATTGTCTCTAGCTACATTAACCTTATCTCAATGAGGAGCTGATGATTACATGACAACTCGGTGCTATTGTATGTAAGACATAACATCAAAATCATTCCTTCTCGGCTATCAGTAACTGTAAGAATGAGATGTCAGGTTTAGTCTTTAGACATTATACCGCTGACCTTACACTATTGTTTTTATGGTTAAAACTATTTCAGCATTCATTGTCTTATGTCCTTCACCCAAACACAATAAAAGTGCAGGGAAAAAAAGCAGCAACAAAACTTCTATGTAAATTATCAAAAATAACTTTGTTATATTGTTGTGCGAATTCTGGCTCACTAAAAAATGGTTCACAGGAAATAAGTATTTTGTCAAAGAGCAGAAAAGGAATACTGACACTTCCTCTAGCATATTTCCATAGCTTTTCTTATTTATTCTTAATTTGTACTAGACTTTGCGTTGGTCTTCCTGCAAGGAACAGAGTTCAGTGAGCCAAATTCTGCTAAACCCACTAAAAGTAACTGGATACAGCAGATGGAAATCCGCTTAGCCCACACCAGCTAAGATCCCACAATTTGACTCACTAAACTTCAAAAAAATAGCCCATTAAAAATATATACTTGTCATTTTAAGAGGAAAGTTTAAACTTTGAGGCTCAAGTGATCTACTGGATTATTCACATTAAGTAGAAGAATGAAAAATTAATTATGATAGCTGCAACAGAAGGAATATAAATCCAGAGCAACAGGACACGGCAGGGGGAGGAAGAATACTATGTCTCCAGTGAATTGTGAAGAAGTACAAATGGCAACTGCCTCCTTCAGTGACACAGTGGGCGGCATTATCTCAGCAGGACAAAGGGCTCAGAGTCCTACTGCAATTATGAATTGCTCACATTAATTTTTCAAAAGCATAATTCAAAGAGATTTTTTCATTTGACTGCTGAAAAGCAACCCTTAATAATATATTGTAGAGTAGCAGTCTAAGAATAATCACTATGGTCATACCAGGATTCTATTATAGTTTTTGCCTGTTTGGGCTCAGAACTTCAGAAAGTCTGCTTTGGACCCAAACTTACCCATGTGCAGTCCCAACTAAGGGAGAAACTAGACTGAATCAGTCAGAGTTTATCATCTAATCACTTATGCAAAAGATGTACCCATCAGAGGCAGAGATTAGATAGAGCTTTGAAGAACATTTCTCTTCGTGTCAGTGCATCAGTATGGGAAGAGGTATGGAATAACCATGTAGAAACACCAAAAGGACATGGGCAGCCTATACTGTAAATGGCCAAAGTACCTGTGTTGCTTTACAATAAAAGCGATGCACTTGACACTTTTTACAAGTTTTGCATACTTCCATTAATCTGCTCTTAACATATTTGTCAAATGGCTAGATTCCTTCTTATGTCTCAACTGTTAATATTTTATTCAGTCCTACTATTTTAGCCATGCTGGATCCCATGCTGTAGTTCTTAAAACAATAATATTAATGGATGTGGGGTAAAAAAAAAAAAAAAGGGTCTAACCAAAGATAAGGTCTATCAGGATTTTTATTTTTGTGTTAACAGAGGTTCAAAGAATTAACACTGTTTTTCTACCAACCTGTTCTGAAGACCAGAAAATTCCAAGCTTTAATATTGCTCTTCATTTTTGCTACACCCACAAAAAACTCTTGTTGAAGAGTTATAACCCTCAATAAGATATATGGAAATATTAACAAGGTAGTAGTAAATTAAAAGAACTCTATATAGAAAAAAATCCCACACAGTATCCCATTTACACAAGCTAACTGTTACGCTTTATGAACAAAATTAGTTTGATATGCTGTACTGGCTTCGGCTGGGATAGAGTTAGATTTCTTCAGAGTAGCTTGTATGGGGCTATGTTTTAGATTTGTGCTGAAAACTGTGTTGATAGCACACTGATGTTTCAATTGCCAAATAGTGCTCACATAGAGTCAAGGCCTTTGCTGCTTCTCACCCCACCCCACCAGCGAGCAAGCTGCGGGTGCACAAGGAGTTGTGAGGGGACACAGCTGGGACAGCTGACCCCAACTGACCAAAGGGATATCCCAGACCATATGACATCATGCTCAGCATATAAAGCTGAGGGAAGAAGGAGGAAGGGGAAGACATTCAGTGTGATGGTGTTTGTCTTCCCAAGTAACCATTATGCATGACAGAGCCCTGATTTCCTGGAGATGGCTGAACACCTGCCTGCCAATGGGAAGCAGTGAATGAATTCCTTCCTTTGCTTGCATGCGCAGCTTTTGCTTTACCTGTTAAACTGTCCTTATCCCAGCTCACAAGTTTTCTCACTTTTACCCTTCTGGTTCTCTCCCCCATCCCCCCATCCCACTGGGGAGGAGTGAATGAGCAGCTGAGTGGGGCTCAGCTGCCTACAGAGGTTAAACCATGATGTATGTTCACAGGCATGTGATTTCAAGTCTAAGAAAGGGAGGAGAAATTCAGGTAATTCCAATTATAAAAGTCTCTTCTACATAAACTCATACTAGGATCTAATGTAGGTATGCATACATAAAAATCCATATGTAATCTAAGCACATTTGTACAGCCATTACTATAATCTTTAAATTAATTTGGCTCTTCCAGCTATTCAGCACAACTCCTAAAAATCCTAATAATTATTTTTTTTAATTCATCATGCTTAGTCCCAACTGAATCCTTTCTAGTTTCCTCTGCAATTCCCTTGTTCAGCAAGAAAACCTTCAAGAAAGAGTCACACACATCCAAAACACCTATCTACAGTGTGGAAATTTCTTGGTATCTCATATGCTCTAATTGAATGCCACATATATGTACTTCCTACCTCTCTCAAACACAACCCAAGAAGGATCCTGCCTGACAAAGCAGAACACCCATCCTCCACTTGCAGTCTCCTCATTCTTTCCCTTGACTCTACTGCAGTGACTCGCCTCAGCTGGCTGTGCCGCAAACACAACCTACTCCAGGCAATGTGTCCCCTTCCCTTTACTTACCTACCAGTCAGTTGCTCTTGAAGCTAAGCATTGCTCCTGACTGTTTTGAATACTACTGATGCAACATCCAGTCTCCAAATGAAAGCCTTACATGCCAGAAAAATGACATAATATTCTACAGAAACATTCTGTATACTGCTTACAGTTGAGTTGCATGCAATAGTTTAGATTATTCTACAGCCTTAGTGACAGTAGACTAAGTCTAATGCATATATTAATACATATAAAGAATTAAAATACTGCTTGTTTTTAGTCCTCTAACATCCTCATGAGGTTGTTTTCACAGAATGGATTATTTCATGCATGCACACACAAAATCTGGTTATGGATTATCTCAGACTATAATACACTTTAAACTTTGAGACCTAGTTCTCATTCAGTATTTTATTTTCAACATCTATTTCTTTTTGCTTAAAAAAGAAATAAAATTACTTTCTAGATCAAGTCCAGTGAGGAAAACATAAAACTGAATGCTACCACGCTACTCCTGCAATTCCCAGAGAATGCTTCCAAAATCTCAAAGCCCAACACCCTAGAGCCATCTGCTCCAGTTCTGTCTTCCCCATCAGCTTGGTCTCAACTGATGAGGAAACTCACATTTCCAAGTATCCACCGCAAATTTAGCAACACAGAGTGTCTCATGTAGGCTCCCTCTATCAGCTGGGAGAAGCCATAGTCACTTCAGTGAAATCTGACAGTTGCAGAATTAGCTCTAGGAGTTTCTCACCACACCGATAACAGTTTTGATTTACTTGACTAGTTCAGGAAACCATACTTAATAATCCTGCTCAGAAATCCTATGGTCCTGAAGCTGTGCAGCATTTTCGGAGTTCTGTCAAACAAGTTCCTATATAGTATAATACTGATCAGTTACTGAATGAACTACATGAGAATACTTAAGATTGGCTGAAACTTGCAAGAGAAGCTCTGAATTTTATGTTGTGTATGACTGAATTCAGCTGACTGCTTTGAACAGATTCAGCATGGCAAGCTAATAAACTGATCTTGACCATCAAGCTGACCTAAGCTGACACATGTGTTGACCTTTTATTCCTTTGGAATCTCCTATCATCTAATCCTACATTTTGAAAACTTAATGCTTGTTACAGTTGGACTGAACATCAACACTACAGTTATCTGCTCCAGGAGATCGTTCTGGATGATTCTGATTTGTAAGGGAAACAAAGCTCCTCCCTCACTCTTCATGTCACATTAATACATTCTCTAAGTCACACTGTCTTTCTTTTTCTTACTATGTATTATACTGGCTTGTCAAAACTTAATCTTCTTTGTATACCCACCTTTGGGAGCTTGAGTTATTAGCATTACAATCTCAAAACTGTATCTTATAAACACCACAAACCAAAGATTTTTGCATTAAAAAAAAATCAAAATACAAAGCATACTTAGGCTTCAGATTTTTTAAGAATACTCACTTGGTGGGGAACTTTACTTCTGATACGAGACCAAACTCCATCTTTGTAGAAATACTGGGCTGGAGACAAAAATTTTGACCTATATTCAGTGTTCATCTTCCTAAGAAATCAAGAATGAGGAGAGGGGGAAAAAAAGAGTAAAGCACTTTCCAGAATATTCTTTAAGAGTACTTTTAAAGGTGTATCAACAATCATAAGTATACTTGCACTTAAATGCCAGGCTGAGAGGTGAAAAACACATGCTTTGAAACACAGCTCATCCACACCAAGACAACAAGGAAAGCTGTGAAAAAGCTCACTGACAGCTGGTGGCTCTTCAAGTAGTTAGTCCTGTTGTTTTTTCCTCCCAACTTTTTGCCAGCAGCTTTTGCCCTGACAGCCAGATCAGCAGAACATAAAACACACATAAACCTCAATTACTTCAATGCAAAGTGGACCATATGCGTGGGGTGAATTGTTGAGGCTAGAAACATCCCACTACCAGAACAACAGTCAGTATAATTCATCTAAGGATGTCCTACTGGCTTTGATCTTCAAAAGGCCTCAGTACTCAAAAGGATAGATTTGTTTTCCCTTCTGCCACACATATACACAGAAAAATTAACATATTCTAAAGCAGGCAATAAGCAATACTTCAAGTCCTTCAGCACTGAATTGTGGATTTATTAGCTTAAATCTCAAAAGGCTTTTTGTTTTAGTCTTGCTTCCAAACGTTACTAACTTGCTTTTCATATATTCACCATTGGGGAAAAAGCCCTCTTTTTCAGTCCTTTTTCAGAAATATATCATAAAAGCCTGAAGTCAGAGAATAAAATGCACCTTGTAAAAAGAAAAATACCAAGGCAAAAAATTCCTTTATATTAAAAATTGTTTATGTCCCTTTCTTCGAAACTAACAGAATTCCTTCAGTTTTAATCGAAAAATTAATGGATTAGCTCAAAAAACCCACATCACTGCTGTGCCTTGATCCCAATCACTCTGCTGCAAAAGAAGGCTCTGCAATGTAGGTTCAATACAAACTGACAGTCCTATCTGCATATTGAGAACTTGCACATTTTGATAGTTATTTGCCCAGTGACTGTTTTGGAAACTTTTGACTTGTGCTACGACACTGAAGGCATAAGAGGTAGAAATTTGTCCTTAAATGACAAAAGTCATAGCAAATGATCAAGAATTTTACACACTACTCGCTGCAAAATTTACTACAATCTACTACATCAACGAGCTATGAAAACCATAGTTTAAGGTTTTAACTACACTATCAGCACTCACTTTTTCATAAAGCAATTTTATTACATAGTATTTTGGGTGATCATTTTGTAATTATCTCCCAATATCCAAGAGCATTCAGACCTAGGTAAGTCTCCTCTCCCATCTTTAATCTAATAGCGTAACACTGCCAGAAAGTCATGTGAACGAAAGCAATCACTGGGACATACACTAAGCACAAAGACAGCAGAAATGGATTAATTTATGCATTCTAAAACCTACATCCATTCCGGACTTTTATTTCTCCTGGCATCTCAGATGTGTAGAAAATGGAAACATGATCAGTTCCAGCAATGCAGGTATATGGTGGAAGAAAAAGATACTTGAATAGCCCTCAGTAGCATACAATTTCATTTAATTTCCATGCTTGTCAGATTACCCTAAATGGGACAAATTTATTTCCCTTTACCTGTTTGCTCGGTTTTGCTACTCTGGGACAGAAGGTGGTGCAGACTAGAAAAAGCACGCATCAAGTAAAATCATCACAGTTTTAAGGCATGGAGCAACCACAGCAGATCAGTTTTAGAGGCGACTACAACTTCCAAAGCACTCACTAAATGTTTAGTTTAGTAGCAGCACTGCACCAATTTAATTTTATTTATGTTAAATTTAATAGTATTATTATTGCATCAGAAGGTTCAATAGAACAAGTATAGTTACAAAGCTCCCACTTCCACTGACCAGAGAAGGGGATAGAAATTAACACCAGGTTTAGATGTACCCCCAGGAAGCTCAGTACCAGTGCTGCAAGGGGGCATTTGCCCCTGCAACTGCATGACAGCATGATTAAAGGTCCATCATCTGCCATTCTAAATATAGCCTGCTGTACTATTCACTAGGCTATGTTTTCCTATTTTATACATACCCATGGCTTGTATGTAAAGAGAGGGGCTTTGGACTGATATGTTGCTTATTTTTTTGTTTAGGATGTTTCTGTTCTGATTTTCCTTGTTTTGCTGCATCTTCTGCTGGCTTTTGAAACAGTTCTTCCCTCTTACTCTAAGGCAAAGATAATTTTAAAAATACCACATTAGCTAACAATCTGAAAACCCTCATATTCCTTTTGACATCAAGCTTCTGCAAAGTTAATTTTAATGTTAACTGTTCTGTATATTTAATACAAACAAGAATATTACATTCCTTTGTTAATATAAAAATAAACTAGAAAAGTGCCAAAGCGAAGATTCTGAGCGCAACATTCAGTTAGTTAAATGATCCATTTTGTACGATTTACAAAATGAATTCAACGTGAAACACAGAAATAAATTAATACAATATCTGTACATTCTAACCTGAGTTGTGTAAGACTTAACATGTATTTCTGGAATTTGTAATAAATAAAAAAAAACCCTCTTAGCTTTATAGTCAAGCAATACAAACCAATTGATAATAAATCAAAAGGCAAATTTTTAATTTGTTGCCATGCTGGTTTATAAAGGGTCAGATTGACTCATCCAGTTCTCATATTTTTTTTTCCTGCTTATTTTATCCTCTCAGAAATCTCGTGCATGATTTCTGATTCTGCTAGAGATCTTCACAGACGTTGTTCAGATTCAAGAAAAAAAAAAAAAAAAAAAAAAAAAGGAAAAGGAAAGTAAAAATGAAGTCCAGAAAAACTTTTTCAACATACTCATCAGAGAAGAGATACCAGTATAAACAAAAAGTGTTTTTAGGCACCTTCACTAAATTTTCCTTCTCTTCCTTCACTTCATTAGCTCTCTCTGGAAAAAATAAACTGATTTTTCAATATTAAAAACAAAGAAATGCTTCCTGAAAGCCTCATGCCTTTCAAGCTTTCTTCACATCTGCTAAGAGAAGCAAAAGAGGACATAAAATTCCTCACTCCCAGATGAGATTTAACGCACTGGGCAGGTCTGAGTTTTAAATTGTAAAGCCTCCAAGCCAGCAATCATCTTTAAGAACCTCAAAAGTACCAACTGCTTAAACTGAGCCACAAGCACTCCATGTTAAGTATGTGTTTTGCTCAGTAATGGTCCTAGTGAACATGTGTCTGACAATGGCTCTTTCTGTTTTTATCAAGAAACAGAGATGGGTACTGAAGAGACTCATGTGGTCCTTTATCTGAAGGATGGTTAGCTAGACTGCAGGCATTTAGACAACACTACACTTGACTGCTTGCTACAAAAATAATCATTCATATGTCCACCTTGCAAAATAGGTTAGCTGTCATGCAATCTAAATTGTTCTCACCTATTTTTAGACGGTATCGGTCTGAAACAATTCCTTTGCATTAAATGTATCTGGTAAAACGGCCATCACCATATTTCCTAAAAGTCCACTTGTTTGTCCAAGCCAACAGCAAGACAAGGAAATGCAAGGCCTCAGACAGCCAAATTATTGTCATAAAAGACATTTGTTTTGAACTGAGTAACAGAGGCTACATAGGCTACACAATGTCCTGTTACAGTGCTGCGCTAAATACACTTACCTTTCACCTTATCAAGGCAAAGGCAAATGAATTGTAACCCTTCCTCCATATTTCTTCAAATTACAAATGTTGAGTGAAAATCAGTTCCAACTGTGGCATCTTCCATGCATCAAAATACTTTTTTTCTAGTTCACACTATGTCTGATTTACAAGATAAAAAAAGTTCCAGACCTCTCATCCAGCCCTCTTACATACCAAGAGACTACACTGGTACCAATCAGAGCATAAATCAGAGATTTAGATTTCAGAAACTATCCTAATGACTAAAAAAAGTTTCAAATTTAAAAAAGGAAGAACCCACTTGAAAACTCATAAATTAAGGTGACAGGAAAAACACACTTGAAATGTCATTGTAAATTTAAGAAATGCACTACAGAAACTACAGAACCCATTACAGAAACCCCTAAGAGCAAACAGAGCTGTACGGTGCTATTTTCAGTCTTTTAAAGCAAAACCACTGATTGAGTCCAGTGACATTAGCAACAGCTCTAAAAAGTAACTAAAAAATTTCAAAATAAACCCACCCACCCATTACAGAAAAGAACAATCAAAATTACAGAAAGTATACTAATGCCTTTCTTTTAAGTAAACTTGTTCACAAACCAGAAATTCTTTCTCTTCTGAACCACCTCTCTCTTGTGGACCCTTAACAGGAGACCCTTTGAAATTTCCCTCATATGCAGTTCCAGAAGCAATTGCAGGAGATTTAAATGGAGGTATGGATTTACCTGTGTTGCAAATAACCTTGGGGAAAAGAAAACAAACAAACAAAAAAAAAAAGAGTGTGATTTGCTTACCTTAAGGCTAAATTTTCAAAATCAGTTAACCATTTCATGCAAATACATTCACATATGAGCAGAGAGATGGCCATGTGTACAAATACAACATGTGCAGATTAATTAACTTCTAGGACAAACTGAAAAGAAACTTCATCTGATAAAAACACATTTAAAAGTGACCAGGTCAGACACAGTTAAACCTGTGGCCAAACACTATTCTTAATGAAGTTCACTAACAGAGGTTTTGGTTATTTGGGGAGACAATTCACCTTCAGAGTTGTATGTAGGATCATTTTTTTTAAAACTTCCCTATGAGTCCACAGTACATGTCCAGTCCACAAGTAACAGACAACTGTACTGTGCTTTAGAACCAGATGCTTAGGGCTTGATGATAGTTTGAGCTATCCGCTATTTTCCAAACAATACTGTATTATAAACCAAGGTAGAGAATTTGCTGAATACGTGGTCAGGTATCATCTCGTGCGGTGCTGAATTAAAAAAACCTGCCAAATGTCACAAGCATACATTTTCCTCAGCTTTGCTATGAGACTTTAAGCCTGGCTTGTAACCTAACTTGGATAACTTCTGTATTTTCACAGAATCTCTTCAAGGGGAAGATACTGTCATTATTCAGTATTCACTCCATCATATCAATAGCAATCAAAAGAGTATCAGTTTGTTAATATGTATAATTTTTATCATTAAATTCTAATCTTAACTTTAGAACCTGCAAACAATTATACATATTTAGATTTTTCTCTAAATTCTATTTATTTAAGGGTTTATAACGCCCATAAACTTACTCTTACAGCTTCTTACTCTGTAAGCTGTGAAAGAGTTTGTTATTTCAGATTTCACAGTGTTTCTTCTGAAATAGCATTATGTTCACAAGCACCAATAATGAAATTATCAAACTGATTTCTAATAGAATCAAACAGCATTTTCTATGAAATTTTCCATAAGATGACTTTCGGGGACCTGCCTCTTCCTCAAATGGTCCTTTGACTTCTACACTACTGCCATGCATTCCAGTGAGTTTTCCTTGGATAAGGGACTGCTGGGGAACAGGTATTTCACAGTAAGTCCACCTGCTTTGTATTCCAACAGAAAAAGACAGGATAGTGACTGATCCTAGTTATCAACATTTATTGCCTCTGAAAGCTGTTACCAAACAAGTCTGCTACCTGTGGGTAAAAACAGAGCACACCACCTGTAGTAACCCCATTAACATGTATGCTCCTAGTGAAGAAACAGAAAACAAAATAAAAGCAGAAGTGCCTATATATCATAAAATGCCAAAAGGTAGACCGATTCTCCTATGGCCTGATCCAGTAACAATTAATTGAAAACAAAAAGCAGTCTCACCATTACTTTTTGTGGTCTGGTTAGAAATAGCAACATTTCCAATCCTACTAGGTCCAAAAACTCATGAGACATATTAAAATGCCACAAGAATATCTTAAAATCAGAAGACTCCACTTCTAAATGTAAGCAGTTCTCATGAAAGAAAAAACCCTTGAGAGATGCATTTTATGGCTTAGAAATGTAAGTGCAAAGAGATGGAGACAGAATTAAGAAAGTGTGGTAACCCATAAAATACCATGAGAATAAATAGTGAAATCTGAATGATTTCAGTGGCAAGACATGTTACAATACATGTTACAATACACCTGAACATTTCTCTGTTGATTAGCTATATATTAGATAACACAAAAATCATAAAAATGAAGGGTAACATTGAGTAGGACCTTAGAGCTACTAAGGTAAACTACTGCAAACAAGGAAATGATCCCATTAGAAAGGACAGAATAGAACCAGGCATAAGGAGAATAAGTAATTAGACTACAATAAAGAATCACAGGGAAACAAATCTAATTATCCTGCACTCTTGTATATTGAGAGAGAAAAAAAAAATCATGTAAGAACATTCCAGTTTGTTGTTCTCCTGACAAAAGACGAAGAAAGGAAATCTTGGAAGGTAAGCAACTTTGCTGATACATAGAAGAAAGCATTCATTTATGTTTTGGATTCTTTAAAAAGTTACCTGTTCTGCTGCAAGTATTGGTGACCTTTCATGAGGACTCTTCCAAACAAATTGGCTTTGATATTCAGAATTTCTGGGGAAAGTATTTAAATGTGAAGTATTCATGTCTGCTTTCCTCTGAAGGACTCTGTGAAGCTGACAACATAAAAAAGAAAAAAAACACAAACCTGACTCTTCCTTTTTCTACAATGTTTGGCAAGTCAGATATCATTCAATGTATACTTTCAAACCAGTAGTTTGTTTTTTGGTTGTATGAATTAAACGAATGCAAAGTACATTTTCTCATTATAGCCAAGAACCCCAAAATGTGTATGTATGATTGGCTAAATCCTTGTATAACTGAAAACAGTAGTGATGGCACATGAAGGGCAAATTCCTATTAACCTACGTGGAACCAAAATCTGGTCTCAAAATACTGTTCTCTCAACAAAGAAGCTACAACATAGAATATCAAAACACAGAACTAAGGAGAGAGTTAAGACAACAGAGATTGGTGTATGTGCATTCAATTACTTTAAGTATCAGATTAGGAATTTTATACTGGTCAATTAAAATTATATATATATATATATATATATATATATCTATATCTTCTCTTACCCCATTACCCATTTTCTCCAATTCCTTTTTTGAAAACGAAAATGCTTCATTTTGATTTGGTGGAGCTGCAGAGGGTGATCTCTTCGTGTTGTTTTCTGCAAGGGCAAGAGCTATTTCACCTCTAGAATCCACTGAATGTGACCGAAGTTTTGGGGGAAGTCTGGGCCCTTCTGGCACTTCAATTTTTTCCAGATTCACATTATTGTTGTTGTGGTCTGTGTGCAGCTCTGCAGTCCTAAGAGCTTCAGTTTCAAGTGGGTCATTCAAATCACAATCTGCTGTCCATTCAAAGGATTTTGCAATCTGTGGATTACGGTAAGGTACCCTTCTCTTGGAAATGAATTTTGGTTCTCTGGTGATTCCTGTAAAAGATATGTCAGGTTCAACAAAAACATTCTGTTGAAGACACGGGATCATTCTATTACAAGACTAAACTGAAAGTTTATCATACAACTGATCATTAGAAAAAACTATTTTTGTATGTTTGAGCCTATGAATTATGGGCACAGCTGTAAAATAATTCTTCTTTCCTCTCTGCAAATGCCTTTCCTTTCCACTAAAGAGAGACAGGAACATGGTGGGACTATGTTGGGTAAAATCCTACAAAGCAAATATGGCCACAAGATAATCTTTTGCAAGTTGACTGTAGGAGCTGAACAACAACAACAAAATTAACACAGCCTGTGAAAACAATGTTAACACAGATACAGAATAACTAACCTGCAATAATAAGAGTATGCCACAAACACTTCTCATCACACATGGACAATACACCTTGCTGAACAGGTTCTCACCAATTGAGACAGGACAGTGACAGACCCCTATCCATCTAATACAACTGTGATTTAAAACCACCTCATATAGCTGGTGTCATTTTACAGCAAGAACACAAAAGCATTTCCAAAATTGTAAAAAGACTATGTAACAAAACCAGGTATCAAGTTATTTGAAAGAACTGCAGATAAAATTATCCCACCATTTTAAGAAGAGTTAAGAATGACTGAACACATTTAAAGCAGGAAATCATAATTCAACTTAAAAGAGCTCAACTGCAACAGAAAAGTAAGTGAAGGCCCCTAACTGGCTGAAAGAAACACTTTCTAGGAGAAGCTCCTCTCATGAAAAAGCAATGAAGAAAGAGAGAACAACCTATGGTGAAAGGTATACAAAATGTCTGGATGGCTGACTACACATACAGGTGGTAGGAAATAATTCCAGTAAGGAATTAGTAGGAGGAAGGAACCCAGACCACCCGCAGCTGTTAATTTTTTGTGGTGATGTTCCAAACCATTCTTAAAACTGCCAACTATGATTCAACAGGAAGAATCATAAATGAATTATCAATTACAATCTGCAAATCCCATGAGGTGTCAAGAGTGACATTTGAAGATGTAGATGGTTAAATGGCCAGAAAAATGGTGGGAGTGAAAATGCAAAGACATTAGAAAACTACACCAAGTGCTAGGTGTAAAAGGAACAAGCTTTAGAAAACACTTTTCTCTTAGGATATTATTATTAGCAGGAATAATTAATAAATAGATATTATAGGTTTAATTAATAGAGCACAGGTGCTCTAGGAACAATATTAACAGTTCAATGCAGTATGCACAGGTGCTCTAAGAACAATACTGACAGTTTAAGCAACTTAGTAAGGGTAGGTAATGAAAAGCTAGACACAGATTAAGTTAAATAGACTTCTGAGAAAAGACTCAAAACATTCTAAAAGTGAATTATGATGAAGATTGCTCAGAAGATAAGTAACCATGATGACTGAAGACTGAGTCAGTGAACAGTGGTGTCTGAAGAGGAATTAGAACAGAATAAGAACTAGCCAAAACTGTGGAATACAATGGACTCGTGAAATTGATGAATTAAGAGCTGAAAGTTCCTGGAAAACCACCAAAGACTCTTTGAACTGTATGTTATATATAGAAGACACTTTTTGTTAACTGTTGCCACTCACTGAGGTGGTGACCCAACTCCGGTTAATTAAGCAAGCCTGGAGATACCCCCAGTCTGGTGAAATCCTTTAACACTAGGGAAAGTGAGGTTAAAGAAATACATATTTTGCAGTAATGGAAGAAAGCAGTAATAGATATAAAGCACAATCTTTAGCAAGATTGAATTACTTATCAAAATGTCTAGCACCTCAATGAAAAACAAATCCTACTCCCAGTGGTCTGTTCTTAGTTACTAGGCTGCAATTTAGAACACTTATCATATTGTAGGAATTAATATATTGGACTCATTACAGACTGCATAGTGCGGTTGCACTAAATTGCACAATTTTGTTCATCTGTCTTGTGCCACTACAATAATTCCTATTTTTTACTGCTCCTTTTCAAAGCACTGCAGTTGTCATCACTCTCCAGCTTAGTCCTATTCCTCAACTCCCTATGGGACTTTCAATCTAGATGCCATTTCCTTTGTCTTACACTTCCCAACCCCGTATTTTCCTGACATGGTAACGTCTACAACCCCAAACTCCTGGACAACAGTACCACAAGCTTTTCCATTTAACTTTTTTTTTTTCTTTTCCCCTGCTAGCTGTCTCTGTTCAGTCTTCATAACAATTTTACTTTGTATCAAACTTCTCGAGTTAGACACCTCTTACAGACAGAATTTCACCACAGGTAACTCTGTGCTTCCTTCTTCTACACACCCTGTATGGGTTAACACTGCATCTGTGCTTCGTATTTGGGACTCAGCTTAGGCTGCACGTCAGAAATCCAGTATTTTTCAGGCTTTATAGAAATAACACTGACTTTAAAATAACGTTTCAGTGTAGCCAGAAAGAAAATGGCATTCAAAAACATATTCCGAACGATGAGCAGAAATAAGCCTTTAACTGCATGAAGTGCACAAACTGCAAAGGCTGCCGGTTCACTGTGACCACGCACTCAATCACAGCAAACCGCTGCCTTGCTGGAGCTGGGGTTTGCAATCAAAGGGGCAGCTTTCAGGGGCGCTTACCAAACTGATCCGACCGAAGTCCTGCCCACAAGGGTTTCTGCTGTTGGGATGGGCTACAAAACTCTGGGGTTTTCCATTTGAAGTTTCTCTTATATTCACTCAGTCCCTGCAGCAAACAGAGAGGTGTCTGTCAAGTGACCGGTGCACGTCCTGCTTCGCTGCTTCTGTTGGTGACACATCTCCAAGGTAAAAAACACCAACAAGGCTACTGCAGGGTTCGGCTACGCTGCCAGGTTGCTCTGCATCTTCCAAACCCACCCCCATCGAAGAGCAAAGCTACGTGGTTGCTCTCCGAATAGCAGGAAACAGCACGGAACAATTTCATGCACCAAGAAGTATGCAAAAACTTCTTTGTATCTTGAAGACAATAACATTTCAGGAACAAATGCAGGCCGAACGCTCTGCCATTCGCACGACTGAACTCCTTCTGTCTTTATTAGCCGCCACTCCACAGCGCAAGGGTCTCCCCTTCCCTGCCTCGCCGGTACTTCGTATCAGGGAAAGGACGGCAGAGAGGTGCGTGCGCCCAGCAGCGTGTCAGTCAGTAGCGTGGGGTGCTGGGTGCTAAGGCAGCGCAAGGGTAGAGTTCGACGCCTGTTTTTTTTTAAAAAAAAAAAAATCACACGCCCACGCTCGCAGCAATATGTTGGCACAAAAACAGCGTTTAGAGAAAGAAAAAACAAGTCCCCTTACCTTTCTGGGGCCTGTGCAACGGAGTGCTGGCTGCCGACCTGCCTTTGCCACCTCAGCCAACTGCACGGCCTGGTCAGGAGATCCTAATCCACCTTCTTGTTCAGATCTTTCCTTGGGGGCTGCTTTTTTGTCTGCATGCCCACTGCTAATCTCCATCCTGACTTTACTTGACAGCATCAAAACCAGCTGAGAGGGTGGTAAAAGACACGGTAAGAGATACACCAGACAAAATGGCTTAGGCGATCCGTTCACACTCCCTCTGCCAGTGGGTGCTGACCCTCCCTGTCTTCCTTCCCAGTAGGGCCTGTCGCCGGTCGCTGATGCCTCTAGTGCAGTGTAAGCTGCTTGAGCCAGGATAAGCTTCTTGAGCCAGGGCTTTGTCACCTCTCTGTCTGCAGAGCATCCTGCCAGACATGGGAGGAATGATTTCAGTGCCATCCTGCTGACTTAAGTGGAGTTTAGGTCTGGTCAGACCCTTTATAAATGGTGAGCAACAATTTCTTACTGTCGATGTGAGGAAAGAGAGAGATCCAATCTGTGAGGAAAGGCTTGTGAGCAAAGTAAATCTTCTGCAACATAAACAGAAGGGGGGAAAAAAGAAGTGTGCTGCATTGATAGTGTTTCCAAGTTTCACACATCTTTATTAATGAATTTCAAGATCAAGACAATCATTTTGTTATAATTTGCTTGCTGATTACACTTGAAACTGCTAGCTCCACCAAATAGTTTGTTTCATTATTACAGTGGTTTATTTCATAATGTTCAATCAGGTCTAGTTCAGTACATTTTCTAAAGTAATGCACAAACATGTTACAGAATGTGAAAAGCCAGCTGGCAAACTTATTGTTCAAAATACAGATCCAAGGTTTGCCAGGAATCTCTTCTCTTTGATATGTATGGAAACCAGGCCAAACATAATTTCTGTATGTTTTTAGGGTGTTTTCCAATTAACCAAACTCTAATAATGCATTTATAGACGGTTTGGGGCTGCCTGGATTCAGAGATAGTTTTGATTCTTTAATGCAGAAGCGTAACATGACACCACACCCTCTTGAAGTGCAGAGTATTATATTTATTAACAATGTCTTTCCATTTTTTTAAGATAAAGCAAAATAAATTATCCTGAAATAATGGAATTCACATTCCTCTATATGCGCTGATTGATTTAAATTGCATTTTAAATCTTCTCCTTATAGCTAAGAGATAGGAATAGCTGATGTGGAGGAAGCACTTTAGTAAATGTGTCAGCCACTGAACTACTAGGATCTTTACCTCATGCTCTTTATCACTGCTGATGTATACTAGTATGCACTACTTCAGTGTATACTACTGAACACACAGTTATTCAAGGTAATATGATGTAAGAATGCTGAAATGTGGAGGCTGATAACAATATTTTCATATGAGTACTGAATAAATAATGAAATCGTAAAAATCGATCCACGTGTGGAAAAAGTTACAGTGCATTCACAAACTCATGGTCTTGAAAAGAAGATTGTTTACCGTATTCTGGGAAATAAACTAGCAGGGACTGATGTAAATGGTAACTGGTCTGTATTATTGAATTCCATTGTTTAAAAAAGCATTTAAAGTTTGTGTTGCTACATAACAGATTTAAATAATTTTGAGTTCAAGTCACTTCACATTTCTGTAACACTTGAGAGGTTGACCATCTTCCTCCTTTATTTCCTATAAAGCAAATATAAGTTTAATTTTACCTTGCTGATACTCCAGATTTAGACCTTCTTGTTGCTGTTCTTAAAATGAATCAACAATTGTGATTTCTCTTGCTAAACTACATATGAAAATTCTTTAATTTTTTATGTATATAATTTCATATGGATAATGTGACCCATATATTTTTCTTTCCATGCGTTTTTTGCCTGTAAGCTTCACTACATCTTGCTGCATACCCTGACCCTTATCTTTGACCTCTGTATCTTGACCCTATCCTTCTTGAATCCTGACTTCAAGTGCTTGATTAAGTTAGATTTTCCTTGAGCACCTTTCATCAGCCTGTGAAAAGCTGTCTATTACTTCTAACTAAATGGGGACCTTTTTATGACCTGTTTCTCACGCTGCTTGTAAACTTGTATACCACAGGCAACCCTGCCTTAAAGAGGTGATAACCTAACATCGCTTTCTTTTCTTTTGCTTTAACATTTATGCTCTCTCCTGCCAAAACTCAAAGCACGATATATCAGCAATTCTCCCTCCAGCCAAAGAAGGCTAGACACAGCTTGCCGTGGAACCTGTCAACTCCATGTGTCAGCCTGAGGGAATCAAATGAGAGCAATGAAACGTGTTTTCCACCTACAGAGTCAGTAGCCTCTGGCACCTACTGGTACAGAAGCAAAGGAGGAGCAGTAGCACCGCTGGCCTGGCTCAGGTCCTGTGGTTTTACTTTTTATAGCAAACGTTTCTCGTGTAAACTTGTCCCAGCTTATTTTACAACTCATTTAGAAACTGCAGTATTAAAAATACTTTAATTTTAGTACTCATTTAAATCCCTTTTTCAAGTGACTGAGTTGACCCAGCAGTCATTAAAGGGCAGTGTTTTGTTGCTTATAGGGGCCTGGATTTGAAGATATCTTGGCTTCATGTCTCAGTAGTGGTTCTTGAGCTTGGCAAAAGCATTAACTGTTGCCATCTTAAATTAGTCTGTCCCTCTTGATACAATTTCATTCTGAATTGCAGAGACACCTATGTAGTTCATCTTTCTAACTGTAAAAGAGGTCATAAAATGAACATGAAATGTGGATAGACAGGTCCAACTCTCAGCCCACCATCCACTCTTTTGTGCATTGTGCACTATCTCTTAGGGCAAAACACTGTCCAAAGTGACTGCTGCCTTAGAGAACTTCAATTTTTACCCACCCAAGGCCAGACACATGCAGCAGAGCTTTCCATAACCAAGGGCTGCCAGACTGTGTGGTTACCCAGGGTTGAAACTCAAAAATATCTCACATCAGACCACTTTTGAAATCAGCATCCTTAGCATTTCTGTCATTCCTCCCTCTCTAAAGTGAGAATAATACAAGATTCCTCACCATAGTTTGGTATGTGCTAATCATGAGCTTATTTTGATTATAAAAGCACACAATATTTTTTAAAATATGTGGAATTCAAGTTCAGAAACAGAACAAAGTATCTCAAATGTGTGTAGCTGATGCAAGGGCAACGGTGGACAACTTCATTTCTTACATTAGAAGAAAAAGTAAAGTAGGAAAGCATGTGTCATTTTGATCTAATGTTTGCCTGGAGAGCACAGTGAAACCACAGCTGCTCATCCTTTAGGAAAGAAGTGTACACCCAACTTGTAGCTATAAACAATACTTATCTCTGTTTCTGTAGGAAGCATAGTGTGTTACTTTGTGATATTTGTGCAGCTCTACATGCTCAGTCATTACCAGTCTACATGACTGTTCATAATGTAGAAATACTTCATTTCTGTTTTTAAAGGTGCATAAGATTTACACAGTGCAGTAGCAAAATTGTGCAATGCTGGCATAAATAATCTGTTATGACAACCCCTCAGGGAATAACTCCTGTTGGCAGGATGTGAGCAGTCCTGGGATGGTCTGATGCACTGGGAACTGCACTATAACAACGGAAACATGAGCTTGGCCTCGGGTATCTCACAGCTCAGGTTGGCAAGCTCAGCTGTGTTAACAAGGTAATGCAGTTCAACTTCAAAAGGGAAGCCGAAAAGGCTAATAGTCGCTGTAGTGGCCCATCTGCTAGACGGCCAAAACTCCCTATGATGTATTAAGAAAAGGTTTTGGAAGAGACATGCTGAACTTTCTGTTAAATGAAACTTTCGTCATTTTTCTTTTCACTTCTTACTTTGCTTTGCATGCCAATGTAACAATAATCTGCTACCACACTACTGGTGCCATATACATACATCAGTAAGAAGTCACACTTCGTGGTGCTGACTCAGCCAATTTAGAAGGGAAGGCTCGTTAAGGGAGTGGGAATTAGCCTCACTGTCTGAAGAAGATTGTCCTTTACCTTTTGGAATCCAAATGTGAGCAGCTATCCCTCTTGCCTAGCACTCCTGGTGGTGCCCTTCAGGGAGTAGACAGACAGAAGTCTATCCCAGCAGTCCTGTAGGACAGAGTAAAAATGTTCAGACAAGTTTAGATTTTCTGTGTCCAGGTGACACAGTTCATCTGGCAACATTGTGGTAAAGGCACCACTAAAAATTGTTCTTGTCTGGTAATTCCGATCTGTCAGTGCAGTTTGCCACTGTCTGTCATCTGTGCTGATATCTGTATTTTATCTGTTCTCTATAAAAAAGATGATAAAAGATGGAAAAAAATGTATGTAAAACTGCTGCAGTTTATAGTACAAATATTGAAGGAGACATTATTAGTAGTTTGAAATACACTGTACCAGTAGCTGTAACTGTTGAGGCTGGACTAGGAAGGGGACAATATGATCAAAGGGGAAACAACTTCAGCACCCAGCTACAGGAAAAGCCATTAATGGCATTTGCATAGATCATATATTCCCCCTCATTTTCAGGAACTCATTCGCTGTAGGTACCAGGAGTAGCTGGCTTCAGGCAGATGACTTGTTACCCCCTTTCTCCCTCACTGGTGGCATCTGGAGAAGAAGTTGCATATTGCTCTGTTGTACGCATTTCTTGGGTCATCGTAGTGGCTTTTGGTGTGATGGTTTTCTGTCACAGAGATGCACAGAATTATTTTTATGAAGTGGCAGCAGTTCTCAAGATCCTGAGCCATAGCAATTTTTTATCTGCCACTTTATCCATTAACCCTCCAGTAACTGCAGTGCAAATGCCCTTGTTCTTGTTTTCACTTTTTGTTAAACAAAATATCAGCGGATGACAAGCCTTCACTGGTACAGCTTGATCATGTACCTACAGTAAACACAGACCAGACTTTGATTCTTTAGCCTTTTTCAATTAGTACCTCTTCCCTCCTGACCCCTACCAATCCACAGGATTAAGAATAATGCTCCATCAGTTACATACACAAACCTGTATTTATCCACACACTACAAAAATTCTTAGATACTACTGTGTCAGTTATCTTGGAAAACTATATTTGATGTACACAATTACTCGACTAGCTCCAGTGCCTTCTAATGAGGTGATACGAAGGCATTGATAGAGGGGTATAGCAGAGGTTCCCCAATTGTGTTCATGCATTCTTCTCATGTATACTTTGCAGCCAGGTGTAGAACCTGCTGTCTCTAGCAGTGGCCACCACCGCTGCTGCCACTGGTGTCCCTGCCAGTGATGGTACCTGGCTTTAAAAGTTTGTGAAAAGCAAATCTAG